AGGAAATCTACAAGCCTGTGGAAGAGAAGCATGCTGAAGTTTACTAGCATATATTTGTATCCTTTGCCTCAAGTATCCTGCTCATATTGCAACAATAACAACTCTCCACCAACTCCCCCACTCCTCTGCACCTGGCAGGTCAGTCTTCTATTGGGTCAGCAACCTCACATGCAGTAGCATGAGGGCTGGTATGCATACAAGGAGGCCAAATACTACTGCAGAGAGCGCCCAAGGAGCAGAAATCTTCTCTGCCATCTCCTCCACAGAAGGTCTCATTTGGATTGCTTCACCACCTCATCAGCATGCATGAATCCAATAGAAACCACCCAACCTTCAAGCCCTCTACCAAGCTATTTAGCAAATTATAACCTATATGCAACAGCTTTGTCAGTATCTTAGAAAAGCATTTAGCCCAATGCTCTAAGAGAGACAAATTCTTAAGGTCTTCACTAAAAAACAAGTTATCTACACTGCGATGTTCTCAGTAAAAGTCTGTGGAATAGCCTAAAAGAGCTTTTTAAAGCCTGAAAGTTGAATTTTAATTGTTGACAAAAGAAGCCCCTGTGTATGCTAAGAAAGACTGCCTACTAAATATACAAAGTGCAACAGTAACACATAAAAGTACCAAACTGAGGTTCAGAAATACTGCTTGGTTATGTAACTGAAGTGGTTTCTACTTCTAGGTAATAACTACAATTAAAGCTATTGCTAGTGGAATTGCAGCAGATTATTTCATATCCAAACTATTTCCTGGGCAATATAATAACAAAACAGCACCGAAGCAAATCTAAACAAGACCAGAAAAAACATCCTCGTTCATCAACCCCAGTTCAACAACCCCTTCTTATTATGTGCCTACCCTATGAGTTACTAAGTTTTTCTCTTCTGGCTGGAAAGCTATCCCAGAACCCCAATTGCTTAATCAGTCTGCTGATTAGGCAACTAAATCTGGATTTAACAGGATACTTGTAGAGAAAGGTATCATCATACAACAGCACAAGCCAATACAGCACTATTTATATGGTTGGCACTGGAAGTGATTTAAGGGAGTTGTGAATAAAAGCTGCTGCCTGCATCTAGTGGCCTAAAAACCTATCCCTGTTTCTTAGTACTTTCTTGAGAAAAATGGCATAATGTAGGGATACACGCTGTCAAAGTAAAATAAAGCCAATCATAAAGGCACAAAAAAAGATATCATAGGAGACCACCTGTGCCTGTTCAGCATTTGGGGTTTGTACGTGTAACTTGCAGATGAAGGATAACTGGAAAGGGTCAAGGGACAGTAACTGCTCTAAAGGCTAGAAAGACAATTGGAGAACAAAGGGAGAAACTGGAGAAGTCTGCGGTAGAATTTTACTTTGTCTGCTTGTCTTACTATGATAACTCCTTACAAAATAAGTATTCTAAACTCTGACCTGCCCAAGAGCAAGGTATCAGGTTTTCTACTACAAACTACCTTAGTAATTTCTCTTTATGGAAAAGCATTCAGAGCATCTATTCTTGTCTCCTAAGTGCCCATTTAAATATAAAATTACTAACAGTGGCCAGGGAGGATTTTTGAAGAAATGTGCCATAAGTTTATAATAACAAATCTATAAAAATTAAATCATCAACTTACATTTTCATGTAACGATGAACATCAGCAGGGAGGGATGACCCATCAAACACAAAATCTTCCACCATGACATTTAAGGTTAATCTTGACCTCCAGTGAGAGACAGGTTCATCCAGTGCATTTGTCTGTTTTTCTGCTTCAATTTGCTTTAAAAGAAGTATAAAAATACATGCTGCTGAACAACACAAAATTTTGAATAGGATAATACTGTAACTCACAGAATCTATGGAGCTGTTAACTATATAAAGAAAAGAAACACATGAAGAAATACTTCACTTAAATTTTGACCAGATCAAGTATTTTGCTCAAATGCAACAGAGAAGATTGTAAAGGCCCACCATAATCTGACACTGAAAAGCTGCAGTACCCAATCACAGCCTTGTTCATCAAGAATGAATATTCACCTAATTAATCTTCATGCTTTAGGAATGTGTATACTAGTAAGAAAAACTCACTTTGAAAACAGGACTGTACAGTAATCAGATGATACCTCAAAACAGTCAAAAGGATGTGGATGATTAAACAAAAAACATATCTCTTTTCATATGTTATTCTGCTGTTTTACAACAGCAAAGCATATTATTTCACACGAATTCAATTCACTATATAAAGCAGCACCATGCTGTTACAGAGCATGGATTCTACCATTCTATTACAGAGTAATATTTCTACCAAACGCAATGAATTCTTTAAGAAGTAATTAATGTTAACTAAGGCAGTGTTTTAATAGCAGTGTTAAATAGCCAGTGTTAAAGAGAAAGCTCTGCCTCTGCTCTGCTGAGTGGTCTACTGTTAGTACACATGATAATCAAGAAGAGGAGTTTTGATTTTTATTTTTCCTCCATGGTATCATTTTAGTTTAAAGACGCAAGCATGCCACATATTAACACTACAAGTGTCTATAAATGAAATTTTTTTTTTGCAGTTTTTCTTCTATAGATGGTAAAACTACCTACCTGTGTGGCTGATTCTCCAGTGAGCAAATTAATCTCTTCTGGTTTGGGAACCATGTATGTGGTCAGAGGGCTTACTATATGCACCTGCTTACCATCATGCCAAGGCAAAATGCCGGCATGATGAAGAAACACATATGCATATAATGTGCCATTATTTCGCGTTTTCTTTGGTACAGAGACATTCACTGTCCTAAAACGCAAAATAAATACATTATGAAATGTACATGCTGAAATATTTAGCTATTATTAAACATCTGGGTTGCCTGGAACACAACAATTACTTCTGGCTAGTATGTCCTAATGATCCATGTCGGGACAGGATAATTTTTTTATACTCCAGTATATATTACAATATATGCATTGTCAAAGTTTTACTGTTATCCTAAAATAGTTTAACCTTTGTCCAATTTATACTTTATTGCCCTAGCTGACACAAGACTGCATCATCAATTCTTTTGTTGCTTTCCTCTACTGATAGGTCATAGGGCCAAAATTATGAAAACACTCACAAGAAACAGCCTGCCATGTGCCGAATATGCATCATAGATTGTATAGACAATACAAAGTTTAAAAGGAAAATCACCAAGTTTTGCCATGCACTTTGCATTAATAAAATATCTTCTCAGCTATGGTATGCCAAGCACAGCACTCTAAATTGGAGCCCCAAACCATGAAGTCATTCCCCTTATTTTGGCCAAGAAATCATTCTACTTGCAACCTTGCATAATGCCTCTTCTATTCCTGTAGTCTTGCTCAGCTTATTCTACTCTGAATACTTTCAGTGGCTTAGCAGGCTTTCAGCAACACACCTCTTTAGTGCTTGAAGTCTGTCTGAGATGAAGTCTAATATGACCAACTTGCCCTTTAATCACAGAAAATTAAACTACAGAACAATGTATTCTTTAAACACAGAAAATGTAGAAAATGAAAAAAACTGGAGAATGTGATAAGAAAGTCATGAATAAGACAAACTATTTTAAATAAAGATAAAAAAAGTGAGGCAGCAAATAGAAGAACAAGTAGTTCCAATAATTTTAATTGCACAGAGGCATATGTAGAGTGCAGCGTTATACTCAAAAATTACTCTAAGGGCACAACCTTGGCACCAAGAATGTCCCCAAACCCTACACTACTATAAGAGAAGGTTTTGTTTTATGATTATTAGCACAGAAACAATTATGGAAAAGCATTTTGCTAAAACACAGGAAAGAACTCAGTTTGACTTCCAAGTTTTATTCCAGGTCTGAGACCATGGCAATTAACAACAAAACATAACGTGTAGACAGTGTACTGGTTGGAGGGAAGTCTCAAGCATCTTCAGGCACTTTGACCTGAGATTTTTCCAGTGGAAAGTCAATTTTACTATTATAAGCAAGGCACACTTCTGTGAAACGTTTGTCTTTATGGCTGAAAACAGCGCACTGATCCAAACTAACCAGTAGTTGACATTGGGGTATGAAGATGTAACAAGAACTGAGAGTATCCACAAAACAGAAATTACAGATACCTGAGCTAAGTGATTTAAAGAAACAATGAGGAGGAGAACTGAGTCAGCCAGTAAGGCAACACTGAGTTACTTTTTAACCACGTGCATTGTCTTCAAGAAGTTTACAAAGTGGTCTCCTAGAACTTGGGGGGGGCTTCAGACAGAGAAGACCACCAAGACCCTCAATGAAGACCCTCAGAAACCTTATAAGGATATGCATATATGCTAATAAGTGTTGGGAAACTTCATGAATGTGTAACAGGAATGTGGGGAACAAAAAATGAATAATCACGTAATGTTGACACACAAGCTGTAGCGGAGATACCTTGGTCTGCATTTTGGCAAAATGATGACCAATGCACCCAGACATGCTGTGCCCATGCAGTACGTTATAATAAAAGAATGCCTGATTTCTAAAATTCACAATTTCAGTCTTAGAGGTTTTTTTAAGGGCTGCTTTCAGGCAATAGAATTGGTGACTGTGGTGGGACAACTTTGCCTGCTCTCCCATGGATCTGAGGGACCTCTGGATCTCCAGACAGCACTGAGATTTTCTTGGGAAGAACCTCAGATCCCCAAACCAGTCTATGACACAGGTAACATGCCTCTGCACTTTTAAAATAAGGCATTTTTCAGGTTTACCAAAATAAGTTGTGTGGATCTTTTTTATGCGTTGTGTGGAGTATTTGGTAACTGGTAATTTGTATTTGGTATTTTGGTATGTCGGATATTAATTTGGGAGTCCAGACTCAATGGCTTATTTGCTTTTGGAACCAGTATTTGGTTTATTTTGTACTGTGGGTTCTTCAGGTTTCAAAGAAGGAAAAGAAATCACCTTTGGGTTGTATTTTGAAACACTGGAGAGAAATGGGAGGGATCCCCGGAGGGACAGCTAAAATTGCTGTCCTGGGTGGCCAATGTAAAGAAAAAAGCCTGCAGGCAAAAGCATTGCTTGCTGCTGAGCTGGAAAAGAGGCTGCAAGCAGAGGCATTTTTTGTTGCCCAGTATGATCACATCCAAAAGCTTCAGGTGAAGCTTTGGAATGTGCATGAGAGAATCTTGGAGGAAGACTGGCAGGATGCAGAACCTGTAATGTTCTCTGAAACATGGTCTTGTAACTAAAACTTACTGTGTTCATTGGAGGAGCTGAGAGACGGTAAAAGCAAGCCTGTTGTTCTGATAAAGAGCAATACGTAATGTTTGCACTGACATCTGATGACGATACAGTAGCATGTCGACCCTTAATTAAAGCTGAAACCTTAAATGATTGCCAGGGTCAGCAAATGGCTACTAAAACAGTGCCACATACAGCTACCGAGATATCCAAGCCAGGCCATAAATAGGGTGAGATTGAAATCCAGTCAATATTAATGCAGTGGGATGCTGAGAAGCTGGATTCACTTCCCAGATGGCAGCCAATCACTGGAGTAAACTGAGCAAGTGTTATCTGCATAATGGATAAGACTAATTCATGGCTCCAGGGCAAGAAGCAGAAGCCTGCTAAAAACCTTAGAAGAAACCCAGCAAAAGCAGCAGTGGTTTGTTGAACTTTTGCAAGCAGTCTAACTCCCTCCGAACATGAAATTAATCAGAAGACCCCCCTGAAAAGACGGGGCAAGCAAGAAGAACAGTGCAGCAAGCACTTCATGAAATAGAAGTTAAAACTCCACCTGAGAGATACCAAGTTCATGCAGTTAAACTTCATTCACTAAGGGGTAACTTGTCAGGGTTGTTTTCTTTTTCTAGGAATGCCAGCACCCACCCCCAACAAATATCAAAGGAATCAGTTCAGACTGGGGAAACTGCCAGGGGATTTACAGGCCACGATGTGGCACAAGATTTACAGGTGCAAGATGTGATAACCATTTTTCCCTTAGGATCTTCACCTTTGTGAATCTCAGCATTTCAAACTCATGTTACTGCTTTAATAGTATTATACCAGCCTTCCTTTAAATAATTGATCTGTATTGGGCCGAATTTTCACTTATCTTTTTATAGGAAACTGCCAACTGATGAGACAGAGCTGTGTGAAACCGATGAAACTTTTAATCGCCCCATAATTGGTTGTATTATAAATTTATTAATTATTGTAATTTCTTTGTGTTTGTGAAGCCTAACCTTGCTTCATGCATATTTCCGTCCACGTAACTACTACTTAGGATACATGCTTCAAAATTAAACAAGGAACTCTGGCACCTCAGATTCTACTAGTTCAGACACTTACCTTTCAAATTTGGACTCAATATCAAAATCCTCCACATTCAAAACGAGATCTATGTTACTCTCAGCACCAATGCTTGACCGTGTGGTAGTATACACACTTAACTGAAATCAAAACACAGCATGAAGAAATCAGAGTATGGAAATATCAGATCCATGCATTGCTATGCCTAAAGTACAGGTCTGTTTTTCAGCTTCACTAATTCCCCAATCACAGGAAGGTTATATACATAGACAATAATGTACTCAAAAAAAGTCTTAACGCAGCTTTCAGCTCCTTTTGGGGACAGAAATACATGATAACACAGCCACTAAGTACATTTTAAAGGGACTGGCCATACATACATACATTTTAAAAGGCTGACCTGTCCTGGAAGTTGAAGGAAGTGGAGCTATTTCACAAAATCACAGAATTGTTAGCGTTGGAAGGGACCTCTGGAGATCATCAGTCCAACCCCTGCTGCCAAGGCAGGGTCACGCAGAGCAGGTGACACAGGAATGTGTCCAGGTGGGCTTGAAATGTCTCCAGAGGGAGACTTCACAACCTCCCTGGGCAGCCTGTTCGAGTGCTCTGGCCACTCTCAATGCAAAGAAGTCTACATCACGTTGAGCTGAAACTTCTCTCATGTTTTAGTTGATGGACATTGCTCCTTGCCCTGTCGATAACGCACCACTGAAAAGAGCCTGGCACCATCCCCTCGGCACCTGCCTTTGAGATATTAACGAGCATTAATGAGATCCTTTCTCAGTCTTCTCCAGACTAAACAGGCCCAGCATTTCTCCCGCAACGCTGCTCTACCCAGTTGTGTGTGCCAACAAGTATAAGAAATCAATAAAAAACTCAAACTCCAAACGCTTCCACCCTCCCCGTGCCAGCAGCCACGGGCGCTCTCTGCCCAAGGCAGGGGCCGAGGGCAGGGACAAGGGGGAGCGGCGGAGCCGAGGAGCCCGCGACACCGAGGGGCCGAGGTCCGTCCTGGTTCCGGTCCCGGTCCCGGTCCCAGTCCCAGTCCCAGTCCCGCTCACCTGCAGCTTGGGCCTCCGCGCCAGGTAGGGCCAGACGCACCCCCCGGCAGCGCCGGCCGCCGCCGCCGCCGCGCAGGGCCGCGTGTAGACGATGCCGTACATGACCCAACAGGTGTGTGCCACGTACACGGCGAACACCCCCACCACCAGGCTGGTGAACGAGCTGCGGCTCAGCATGGCGGCGCTGATGGCGGACACCGCCCCCGCCTCCCGCCGCAGCCCCCACCGGGATCGGGATCCGCCGCCGCCGCCGCTGCTCGCGCATCCCCCGCGCGCCGCCCGCCCCGCCCCGCCCCGTCCGTCACGTCCGGCGGGCGAGGGAAGCACCGCCCCCCCCCCCCGAATCCTTCCTTCCCGGTGACCGGCGTCGGGAGCGGCGCGCGCCCCGCAGGGATGGAGTCACGGCGGCCGCTAGGGGGCGCCGTTGTCGGTGCCCCGCCCCCGGGACGGCCCAGGGCTTAGGGCCGGGGATGGTAATGACAGCGGTGGAAACGGTAATAATCCCGGGAATCGCAGTTAGGTTGGGGAACACCTCCGAGATCGCCGAGTCCGACCTGGGACTGAGCGCCACCACGTCAGCTACACCGTGGCACTGAGTGCCGCGTCTGGTCTTCCGTTAAATATCCCCAGGGACGGTGACTCCACCGCCTCCAATGTTTACCCACCCTTTCTGTAAAGGAATTTCTCCAAATGTCCAAACTGAATCTCCCCTGTAGCAGCTTGAGACCATGTCCTCTCATCCTGTTGCCAGTTGCCCGGAATAGGCAATTGACCCCCTACCTGGCTACAACCTCCTTTCAGGTGGAGAGTGGTAACATCACCCCTGAGCCTCCTCTTCTCCAGGCTGAACACCCCCAGCTCTCTCAGCTACTCCTCACAGGACTTGTGCTCCAGATCCTTCATCAGCTTCGTTGCCCTTCTCCGGACCTGCTCCAGCACTTCAATGTCCTTCCTGAACTGAGGGGCCCAGAACAGGACACAGGGCTCAAGGTGTGGCCTCACACACGAGTGCCAAGTACAGGGGGAGAATCACTTCCCCAGTGCTGCTGGGCACACTATTGCTGACGCAGGCCCGGATGCCATGGGCTGTATCATCATGCTGGCTCATGTTCAGCTGGCTGTCAACCAGCACCCCTAGGTAATAATAACAACAATAACAGTAATTGTTGTAATAATAGCAGTAATAGTTGTTGTAATAATAACAACAATAAATATAAAAATAAAAATATCCTTTGGCAGTCTTAACAAAACATTACCTTTGATACGCAGTCACAGACTGCAAGGTAGTGTGGTACCTTGAAAAAAAAAAACTCAGGGAAAGGAAAGGAGCAACACTTCAAGGCCAGGTTGGATGGGGCCCTGAGCAACCTGGTCTAGTGGAAGGTGTCCCTGTCCACATCAGGGGGGGTTGGAACAAGGTGATCTTTCATGTCGCTTCCAAACCAAACCATTTCTGTTCTACTCTGCCCTGGTGTGGCCTCACCTTGAATACTGTGTGCAGTTTTGGACAGTGCAATAAAAGAAAGATACTAAGCTCTTAGAGAGCATCCAAAGGAGGGCAACAGATATGGTGAAGGGCCTTGAGGGGAAGCCGTATGAGGACTGGCTGAGGTCACTTGGTCTGTTCAGCCTGGAGGAGCCTCACTGCAGTTACAACTTCCTCATGAAGGGAAGAAGAGGGGCGGGCACTGGTATCTCCTCTGTGGTGGCCAGTGACAGAACCTGAGGGAATGGCCCTGAAGTTGTGTCAGGGGAGGTTTAGCTTGGATATTACAAAAACACTCTTTACCCACAGGGTGGTTGGGTGCTGGAACAGACTCCCCGGGGAAGTGGTCACAGGACCAAGCCTCATGGAGTTCAAGAAGCATTTGGACAATGCTCTCAGGGACGTGGTGTGATTCTTGGGAATGGTTCTGTGCAGGGCTAGGAACTGGACTCGATTATCCTTGTGGGTCCCTTCCAACTAAGAATATTCTGTAATTTTGTGAACAGGAGCAAACAGTGAAGGGCGGTGGCAGAACCCAGAAGGTGTCCATCTGTCAGCAGCTGAAGAAGCAGCCTTTGGGCAGCACACCTGCCAAGCAGTCACACTCTGCTCTTGTAGGCCTGAGCTACCAAACACTGTCCCTCAAGGGAGCTGGGAAGGTTCTTCCAGCCCTTTGCTGGGAGAGAAAAGGGAGTGTTTCTTGTGGTCCTTGTATGTGCTCATATGGGGGCAATCAGGAGAAAGTGGTGGTGTGAGTATGTACCTCAAGTACACCTCAGCTGAGGGGCTCAGGCACAAGGCACACAGGGGCAGAAGAGGCATAAGCATGGGTTAGAGATGACTGCTCCGTGAGGTGGCACAACCAGGAGTTTCCCTGAAACACAGACAAGGCAGAAAACAGGCATTCAGGCAGCTGAAGGGCTCAGGCAGCCTGGGGCATTACCATAAGTGTGTGGCAGGTTACGTGGAGCTTTGAAATACCGGGGGGAATATGAAGATGGATATCTTCTTTAAGAGAAGAGAGTGGTAGAGAAAGGTGAGAAGATGAAGGCGGAGAAGAAGGCATGATGTGAAGTCTCACAGCTCATGCTGCTACCTTAGGAGTGACCATGTCACCTGAAAAGATGCCAAAACAACAGAGCATCAAGGAGACACTGGCTGCAGATTTAGATGTCCATCGGTTCCCTGTTGATCCAAGCAGCTCAGTGGCAGGAGACACAGAGTAGAGCTCTGCTGCCGGGACAGAGCAAAGCCAGAGTTACAGCCTGTCACCTCTAGCAGGCCTCATGATACTCTGAGGCATGCAGCAGGGAAAAGTGGGGTTAAATTGAGGTGGTATCAGGTAGGGGAATCTTTACCTCTGGAAGAAAGAAGTCTTCCACGCATTTTGTGCACTTACACATCTGTAATATTTAAATCACGTCAATCACTTCCATTTTGTAATGAATAAGCATTTGTGAAAATGTACCACACTCTGATTGCATCCTCTAGCATTAGTTGAATAATCTTCTAGTTTAATTTACTTTCATAAGACAGAACACTTAAGTTATTTGCATTTTAAAGCAAAAGAAAAAGCAACAATGTATTTAAGCAAAAGAAGCTGAGGTTTTAAAGCTTTTCATAAGAAAGCATGCCACATTGAACAGGACTTACTGAAAGAAGAAATAACTAGATTAACTTGTGGTTTAGACAAATACAATATTCAATCATTTTTATTATTTAGAATGAATTAGCTATCATCTACAGATGTCTGTTCTTTCACACAAAAGACCAAAAAGACTCTTTCAGGCAAAAGAAAATACTCAAAATCTGCATCCACACCTATCCTGGTTTTAGCTGGGATGAAGTTAGTTCTCTTCCTAGTAGCTGGTACGGTGCTATGTTTTAGGTTTAGTCTGAGAATAATATTGACAACACACTGATGTTTTGGTTGTTGCTCAGCAGTGCTTACCCCAAGTCAAGGGCTTTCGGTGTCTCACGCTCTGCCAGTGAGGAGGTGAAAAAGAAGCCATGAGAGAGCATAGCTGGGACAGCTGACCTGACCTGTCCAAAGAGATATTCCATACCACAGAACATCATGCCCCATATGTAAATGGGGGGAGTTGGCTGGACGGGGCTAATTGCTGCTTGGGGACAGGGTCTGACATCAGTCACAGGGTGGTGAGCTGTGCATCACTTGTCTTTCTTAGGTTTATTTCTCTCTCTCTTTTTGTTGTTTCCCTTTTCATTACAATTACTATTATAATATTATTATATTTTATTTAAATTATTAAACTGTTTTTATCCCAATCCATGGGCTTTACCTTTTTCCCATTGTCCTCCCCATCCCAAAGCGGGGGGGCTGTCAGTGGCTGCATGGTACTTAGTTGCTGCCTGAGATTAAACTGTAACAGTTCTTTTTGGCATCTGATGTGGGGCCCAACGGGCTGAGATAACAAATCAGACGAGAACACATTAGAACAAATATAAGTATTCATTATTAGTTTAATAGTTGCTGGTTGCACTGTTGATTTATTTGCTCCCAAAGTTGGTGTGCTTGTTCTTAAAGTTGTGTGATGCCTTACTTGCAATCTGTGTTCCCTCTTTTGCCCTTACACACAAGAAGAAATGGATACAAAAGTCTTGTTTAGTAAAGGAGAACAAAGCGAGGTCACCACAAGAATAGGAAGAAGAGGAAGAACAAGGTGGGACCTTCCAACATTAGGATTCACATGTAGCAAATGCCACCTGGGTAATCAAGACTAGGGGATCTGCCAGCTGGGCTGGCCCTGCTCAATCAAAACTTCCACCTACTGTAGAAGGGGATAAAGTTCCTGTAGTGCATGTAAAAGATACGCTGGGGAAAACAATCCAGGTTACTCCTGCCTCGGGCAAAGGAACACCCATCTGTGGGACTGCTGTTGCTCAAGGACGTGGGTGCACTTGCTGGGTAATGTGGAAGGACTGGGAATTACAATGTGTACCTCAAGGGGATTTGATTTTGGATGAGAATAGCCAATGAATGAAATTCTGTGTTAACTGCTATATAGCAATGTATTATCATTTCTGTAGTGACTATATGCTCATCAGTGCATTGTCTCTTCCACTCCAATTTGGGGATTTGACCCTGACTGTTCTTATCTCCACACACAGGTTTTCCTTTCTTTCCCCCAATTCTTCTCCTCTTCTCACCAGGGGTGAACAAGCAGCTGCATGGTACTTAGCCACCAGCTCAGGTTAAATCACAACTCCATCACTTGAAATTAGAGAATAACACTAAGAAAAACACTAACAAGTCTTCCTTTGAAATCTTCACATCATGATAAATGTATGTAATTTATCTGGCAAGCTTCCCCAGTGTTTCACTTGTATTCTTAATGGTTCAGCTTATATCCACGGGACCTCAGAGGATGCCTTTTTTCCACCCCCCCCCATTATCAAGTTCGCAGGTATGTAGGCATCTGAAGTGTTGGATCCATTCTTGGCTATTCCCTGGATAAATAAAAGTAGCCAGAGCTACTTCAGTTTAATTTAGACAGCCTTATTCTCCAGAATTCTGGAGCACCTTTTCCAAATATTTTTTGATCTTTCAATATTCTTCTTTGATCTTTCAATATTCTTCTTTGATCTTTCAATATTCTTCTTTAAGCACACAAAATAGAACTGGAGTCAAGATTGCTGCCACAGGGATATTCTTTTTTTTTTCCTCCACACAAACCTCCCCCTTAAGCCCCTGTATTTCATGCTCCCAGTTGTCAGGTAAAGAAACACTCTTTTCCCATACACACTGACAGAGAATATATATAAACAAAGTAAACCTGAACATATACAGACTCAGTCTTATTCACAGTTATGGTTTGTATCCTTTCTGTTATTGTAAACCTTGTTGTTTATAAAAAAATCTAAAACAAAATCCAGAGAAAACCAAACATTTTTTTCTTTCATTTTTAATTTGGCTTCACGGTGAAAATTCAGTTTACAAGCCATTCATGAGGAAAATGTCCAGTTGGGAAGAATGAGCCATGATTGTGTAATCAACACATCAACACTTGTAGTGTATCATTTAGTTCCCTTTTAATAAATCATCATATGCCTTCTATAGCACAGTTTAGGCATCTACATCATACGGCTCACTTCATCACACGCTATGTCCATTTCAACCTATCAGACAACTAACAAGAGAAGAACACTGAAATTGAGGTATTTCCTTTAAAAATTTACTGATCACTGGTATTCAGAGGTAATGTTAAATCATATAGTTTTAAACATTGAAAAATGTACAAAAAACAAGTTCATTTTTAAAAAATATTATCCTTAGTCTTCCATGCATGTTAATAAAAAATATAAAAATCAAATTTGTAGCACTGAAGCTATACTTTTTGTTCTGCAAAAGTATTTCCACAATTGGAACCACAAGGTACAGTCATCTTTAGTACATTACTTGTTTTTGCTCTTCAATTATGAAGTATAGTCAGTTCAGTGCAAAGGTAATAGTCTATGTACATATATCATAGGAGCCACATGAGGGAAATTTACAGCAGAAAATACGCATTCAGATCATTATTATCCAGTAGCACTATATATCGTTACAGATTTACACTGCATATCCAAGGGCTCTTATAATAAAAAGCTTGCAGTCAATATGCATCTTTAAACACACGAGGTCTGCCTGAGCAGCCTTGAAGTCATCGGCAGAAGTTGTACCTCTGATGGAACAAAAATGTGACACCTTGCAAGTGAGTTCCTACAAAACAGCTTCCTGCTCTGCCAGCACAGGTTTCCAACTAAAAGCATCCTTTTCATGGCAGTGCCTAACTTGGATTCAGTAGCGATAAGAGAAAATTCCAACATTTGATAATTTAAAAGGTTAACTTTTTTGCTTTTGCATTTAAAGTTTCAAGTGTATTCAAAAACATAGCAATATTTTTTTTCCAAAATATAGAAATGATATCCTCAATGCAAGTGCAACAATAATTCAAGAGATTGAAAACTTTTTTTTTCTTAATTATTTCTCAGCTTGTTGATTACTCAAGTTTTATTCTTCCAAAAAGATGAACTAGTACTTGTGATCAAATTAGAAATGTCTCACACACCTGGAGGGATGCTGGGAATTACAAAAAGGTTTAGAAAGTGGTCCTGTTGAACAGATGTCAAATACTTTCAGCACAATGCTGCAACACTGAAGTTCTATAGTACATAATACAAGGTTAGCTGATGCTTAGTCTTGGTCCCCGTCCAGGAAACAAAGTCTACCGCTTCTAAAGAAATTTACTTCTATTTCTAACATCGCTGATTTACATGGAGCTCTTCATACCCTTAGAGCAATTGAGAAAGCAATATAAACGAATCACCAAACACAAACAACTAGAGAGACAAGCAGCTGCAACAGTTTCACTTTTTGTCTAAGTATATACAATTGCTAAGGAGACATGTTTGACTTAAAGGAATTCTAAATCACATATTTAAAAATACAATTTCATTTTTAGATGTTTACTTTAAAGCTGTTCTTGTAGCCTGGAAAGTACAGCACTGGCTCATCTAAGTGTCCCTTCTGATATATAAGAAATATTTTGCTTGAACTTCATTATAAAAGAAAACATAGAAAAAAAATATGTATGTACTTAGGGCATAAAAGATCTTTAAAAGTTTATTTCTTTAGCATTTAAAATACAAAATTGTCTTCATGCTGGATAGTGAATAGAAGATATGTATTTGGGTTTTCCCCCATATACATTCATAGACTTAGAAACAACCTATCGCCAGATGAATTTCATTTCCAATACCATGGTAGGATGAAAAGTGTCTGAGCTTTCTTCAGTATCCATTATCCATGAGGAGACTTTGTTTGTGATCACATTTACAGATTCTGTATTTGGAACTTGGAAGTAAACAGGCTCACATTGAAAGTGTTACTGCGAGCCAGAAGTCAATCTCATTTAAGGTTTCATTGTACTGTATTTGTAAATTTGATCTCTTGTTCACAGGAACAAAATGAATCTCATGAGCTCTTTCAGACCTGCTGTCACCTGGACACATCTGCAATGGTTGAAATGTGTGAAAAGAAAAAGTAACCCTTTACCTAACGGCAGGCACAAGCTAAAACAGTACACAGGCCCTTAGTTTTGGGTGGTATTAGCAGAACAGGACTTTAATATTCAGCTGCCACTTGTGGCTCAGGGAGAAATGTGAATGTCACCTAAGAGGAAGCAAGGTCTCCCTCAGGCTCCCTCTACAAAGAACAGACAACACAAGAGAGAACTAGAGACACAGTAAACTGAATTCACCAGCCCAAGATGCAGAAAAAAATCCTTCTTTACTGTCAGAAGAGGTCAGTGCAGAGTAAAAGCTCTGCCACCATGCTAGCCTTGCTTGGGCTTTTCTACTTGCTGGTTTGGGATCAGAAGTTCAGCCTGATTTTTCTCCAGCTGACTTTGGCTCAGAATTGGCATTCTTAAATAACACCCCATTAATAGTATAAAAATAGAGTATTACAAAAGTCATTATGACTTTCCTCTTGCATCTAACATTTTTGGTCAAAGTAAAAAAGCCTGAAATTTAACATTTTACCAACAGATTATCATACAGCACCTTTTTTTTGAGATCCCCAAACTAATCTCAAATGAGCCCTAGTGTTCATCTGGCTCTGTGCAATTTAGCTCAGAATCATGCAGTATGACAATTATGTTCATAAAAAGAAATACCCTAAACAGATAAGTTAATTAGCAGTTAATTACTCAGGTGCAATCTGTGCTAAGGTGATTCTACCGTTTCTGTTCCCAGAGACTGATCATCTGAAAACTTTAAATATGTCAGTATCAGTTACAGATGGCCTCCCAAAGACAACCTGCACAGGAGTGCTCTACTCTGCCAAGGAAAATGGAATAAGCAGCCACTGCTATTACACAACTAGCGAAATTATTTTGCCTAGCCATCTTGCAAGACAATCTAGGCAGTGTCAACTGCTGGAAAAATCTCTTAGCATATCTCGCAGAAACACAAACCCTCCATTTTATAAGCCTCTTACATCCTCTCCTCTCTCAGTATCACCCACTTTAGTTTAATCCCATTATACATGATAAATCACATCATACCATCTGGGGAAAAAGAAGCTGCTTTCTACAAAACAAATCACTCCTCCACTTGTAGAAGTCAAAGTAATTATTAGCTTGAAATAAACCTGAAATATTTCCTAAAGAAAGGAACTGCTGTAACTTGAGCAGTGGGAGATGTAGGAAATACTCACAGACTCAAGCCTCAGCACATCTAATGGCACCTGTTTGCTGCTGTGATCTCCCAGTAGTTTTACATCACTATTATATAATTTATATCATTTATGCATGGTTTATTATACAATTTATGCATCTTTTGATCACAAGGTGTTGGTGACTAACACGTATACCCCGTTCACTGCTGTAGCTATAAGCACAGAACGATCATCTTTGTTGATCACCTCTGAGGTTGTGCTGGAGGATTTTACCTTTAAGATCTTACAAGATTTGAATACTGTCACAGTTTGAATATTTTTTTTTCAAAATTCAAAGGAAAAAGGCAGGACAAAAAGATGAAATCTCATTGTCTGCACTGCTGGTGACCAAGATGTTACTTGGATACATGATGCTACAGTACCTTCAAGAAATCATCCTCGGACTGAAGACCAGCTGGCTTAACAGGCCAGCATGTTCAGGACAGCAAAATTACCTAAGTGACAATATCAGCCTTCCTGCTCCTACGTGAAACAGATCTTGCAGTTTTGCTGGACTGAATAACAACTGATTTAATTAATGTCACTGATGATAAATTCCTACTTTCCATTTTGTACTTTTCCTCCTTTTTTTTTTTTTTTTTTTTTTTTTTTTTTTTTTTTTTTTTTTTTTTTTTTTTTTTTTGTAATGATCTATTCAGAATAATTTGGTAATTTAAATTTTTGAAATGAGAGGAACTTCAGATACCTGAAATGTAGCAAAGTACCTGAAATGCTTGGTTCACAAGGAACTTCTGTGTCTCATTATGGCTTTAGGAGTTGAACTTCAGCTTTGCTAATATGGGCAACAAATATGTCATTTCTTATTTCTGGAGCACTCATGAAAGGGCTGTTAGAAAAAAAACCCAGAGGCTTCACATTAAGCAAAACACAACATTTCCAAAGGTCTTATGACCCACACTCTGACCTAAAGAAGAATGAAACTGACTTGGTCAGAGTTTTTAAACAGAAATTTCCCCCCCCCCTTCTTGTTTAGTCCCATAACAATATGCAAAGCTGTGCTTATGGTGGTGTGGCTTTTTCTGTGAGATCATAGGGTCTACAGCAGGTGCTGCCAGTTTTGCAACTAGTATTCTTTAAGTCAAGGTGTGTTGGAGTTCTTTTTTGTCCTTTTTTTTTTTTTTTTAAATGGAATTCCATTTTTGAAGGAGCAGAGACTACAATAGTTAACATGAGAAGTTGTACTTACCACATGGTAATATAAAAATAGGAATAATAATTAATGGCAATACCAAAGATGGTCTTATCAGGGAACTCATAAATTATTTAAACCACATCTGCTTTAGGAAATTTATCAGATGTTGAAGTTCACCAATGATTTTGCTGGAAAAATGTTTACATTTTATGAATATAGAAATATTCCAACCAGCCCCGTGCTTAAACTAGGTAACAAAGCTATTCAGTTTGCATGAAAACATTAATCAAGAGCTCTGTGCGAATCTTAGCTCTTTTTATTTCTGGCAGCCTTGTCACTAAAGAGGTTGCATCACTTCCCTTCTGCACACGTGTCTCCTTTTCAACCTCTGTGGCCTGAGGATTTACACCTTCTAAGTGGGATTAGCAAGCCTCGTCACTATTTATCATGCTAAGAATATTCTAGCTAAGATAAATGCATTGAAATGTACAGTGTTAATTAAGCCATATAAAACTAAGTGTACAGCCTAGTTTCTCCATAAGGCTTACAAATTACCTACAAAGCCTTTGACGTGTATCTGCTTACAGCCGTGGACTCTGAAAAATCTGTAATAACGCTTGCTATACTGTGGTAGAGACAGTGGTTTAAACATGCTTTGCAGCTCCTAAACATGTTCAGCTTGAGTGGGGTTTCACTATGTTAGAACAGAGATAAACGAAGCAAACAAAACCCAACCAAAACCCAGAAGCTTCAGGTATCTTGGATATCATGATTTTCTGTGTAACTTTAAAGATATTCAAAATACAGAGTATACTTGTTGAGCCACACAAGAATAGCAAAGCTTTGGCTGTGTATCTCATACAATATGTAAAAATTCAGGCTGATGCAAGAGCTCCTCTGGCAAGGGATGGCAGTATTACATAACAGGAGAAAAATGCTCATCAGAAACATCAAACGCCTTCACATCCTTGCATTTTCTGTGTAAGGCTCATTTATTAAGTTAAATAGTTGCAAACAACTGCAGTGATTTCTTTGTATCTCTCCCAGTAAATTTAGAGGCTGTTGATACCACCAGTTAAAATATAACAATCTGTCTGTAAAATTCGTAATACTTTAATGGAAAGTATTTACATGCCAATGTGTGGTGAAAGGTAAAGGAAGTTTTTACTTCTACCCTGACTTTGCAGCAAGTCAGTATGACCTCACTGTCACAACCCAGCTGCTCCAAGTCAGGTGCCTTTTAAAAAGGCTTCTCACAGGGAACTACTAAAACACTTCAGGAGTCAGAGTTTGATAGATGAGTTGTAATGAATATTGCTGCAATCCTGCAGTGTGTTACTACAGGTCTCAGCCCTCAGTACCTTCTGCAACCGGACTTGTCTATCTCGCATTGGCCTTTTTAGCCATCAGCGCGCTTGTAGCAAGTGTGGGTAGAGCCCTTCTCAAATCTTCGTTCGCAAAGCCTAGCCATGACTACAGATCTCAGCCCTCAAGAGCCTGAGTTCACAACCCTGTGGTAATGTGGCTTTGCTCTCACTACAAGGCAGTCTAATATTATACCTGAATATTATACAGGTGCTAAAATTACCAGAAGTATATTAATTGATCTCAGCTTTTTGTGACATGATGTGTGATCTAACAATGTTTCCATGCAGGCTGATCCTTCACCCTATCATTCATCCTATTTATATCTCTACCCCATTCAATAACTTCTCAAAAGAGGAAGAATCACAATTCATTCCAGAATCTAAGTGTTGTTTTGCCTTCTTTTTTTTTTTTTTTCTTTAATTATTGCGTCCACCAACAGTATTTGCTCACCAATCAAACAATGTGCAGGTCACTGGCCTTCTTCAGCAGGTAGCTCTGGTCTGAACTCAGACACACAGGACTTTCAGTGCCTCTTCACCACACAATGTGGCATCTGTTTAAGGGCCCATCTATTACAAGATGCAGTGCCCTTCAGTCACTCTGTACAGCTTAGCTGCATACAAGCACAGCTATTACACTCACCACAATTAAGAAACATCTCCCTCACAAAAAAGTTATGGAGCCAAATGAACCTATGGGCTTTCAGAAAACAGACCCCCAAGATACACACACCATATATGCAAATTAGACACACATATTCAGCCAACTTCAAACATCTTTCTTTGCTCTTTCACAGATGTGGACAGAGTATCTCGTCCTCTGGAGCTTCTCTCACTTCAAAGTTGTCCATGGGATACTAAGCTTACCTTTTTCTTCTTTTCAGACATGTCTCAGGGAACTCTATCTCATTCCCTGCAGTCTGAAATTTTCAAATCCCAAGCTCACACTCAAAGCAAAAGATAACTATCTTAAACAGCCAGCTTGAGCCACATGCCATAAAAAGGCTTACAGAGGAGATGCAACACGCCCAGGCTGCATGTGTCTTCCCTTACATTCTGAATTAAATGCATAATGCATAGTCATAGAAAATAGACCTCAGCGATATCTCCCTGTGACCCTGGGCATGATCAACAAAATCAAATGTTTCCATCTCAGCTGTCTGTCTTCTGTTTTCAAAACATCCAGTGAAGGAAGGCAGGCTCCTCACCCCACCTGGAATAACCTATTCTCCTTAGCTTAACTAGGTGTATTGTAAGGAAATTTTTCTAATGTTTAACTTGCCTTTTAAATTAAGAGTCCGTATCTACCACTCATGTGGAGAAAAGAGCATTCCTATCTTCTCTATAACAACGCTATCCATATTGGTTTTCACATCTTTGTCCAGTCTTCTCTTCTTTGGATTAAAGGATAATTTTCACCTCTCATTTTGAGTACTTTCTGTCCTCCAGACTTTATCCAGCTACTCCCCATCTCTCTCAGGTGCCCCAATATGGGACAGGTACTTCAGGTAAGGCCTTATCACACCTTGGTAATGCAGAAATACCACCATGCCTCTCACTGGCTACACTGCTGATGCACCCCACTATCATGAGTATCTTTTCTGCAGTTAACAATGCCCACTTTGTCATACTCTGTGCCATCCCCGCCCCAAGATATAATACAATAATACCCACTCCCTCCTCCATGCAGCTGACTATTCTTGCTTAAGTGTAGTTTCTCTGATGCCTTATTTTTCAAAACGATTTATCCTGTTTTTCATGATCAGCTTTAATTCAAATCTTGTCTGCCAGTCTGCTGCTGCAGCCCTGTCAGCTTGGCATGTGCTACCTAGATAAATCAAAAATTTCATAATTACCTCCATATATCCCATATTTTCTTACTTTTTTTTCCTCCTACCTTTTTTATTAAAGCTAGTTCCAGTTTGGAGACTTGCCGCATACAGCTAGGGATTTCTAAGGACAGATGCCAATACCCTAACGAGCTTTAAAACACCTCCTGCTACTTAAAAAAAAATAGTTATAAAAGCATTTGGTACAAACAGATTTCCTTCTGCTAAAATTCATCCCTTTCAAATCTAGTTTTAAATTACTCTAACATGTGAAAGATTAAAATTTCAACAGTTTTCCAATCCCCAAACCATCACATTTTAGCATAGCCCTACAAAATTAGAATAGAAATTACTTAAGGGATTTTTTTTGTTTGTTTGGAAGCAGAGTTGCCATCGCAGTTATTTTACGACAGTCCTCCTTCCTACTCCTTGAGGCTTTTGTCACATCCTCTAATAGCACTGTGGTTTTATAATAATCTAGATTTTTCTCTGAGACCTCCAGTGGTAGTTAAGGCATTTGGCTTTCCAAAACGAAACAAATAAGAAGTATTACTAATACAAGTGTGGTGGTTTTTCTATCTTAAGCTTCATTTACATTATATGCAGTATATGTAATGTTGCTCTAGAGATGGAACTAGCACTTCTTCAGGACGTTCTGCAACTTGTAGCTGGCTTGGCCTCTGAAGTAACTGAAACCCTTTTCAAACTTGGGTTGATACAATGAAGTTTTCATGATGTGTTCCATGCTGTGTTATCTGCATAGGCTTGCTGCAAAAGAAACCTGTGATTCACAATAAATCTAAATCAAATACAATTGCATAAACATCTCCCATTAAAATGTCGGCATGATTTGAATTGCTTATAAGAGAAAAGCACAGTTTAGTTATGTATTTGCAAACAGTTATGTGGCATGTCAGTTTGGAAAAAAATTCATGTTTAATTGCATCCGGAAGATTACAGTAGAAAAGTGTCGGGGTGAGGGATAAGGAGCCTTTCCTTTTCATTCTACCATGGAATAGACTGAAAGAGAAACAATTTTGTCATTCAACAATAAAAATAAAAAGTAATCCTTAGCAAGTTTTTGTATTACTGTTTCCAAACTGTTCATTGAAACCAAAACAAAGGGCCAAAATATGCTTGCTCTGCTCAAGAGAATAATCCAACTGAAGTCAACAGGACTGGCTATGCAAATATAGACAGCAAAGTTTGGCCCCAAATAAACATCCCCATAACTAGGGAGAACACTAATCACCAAAGTGCACTTAACACCATAGTAGCTACAGTTTCTTTTTACATGCACAGTTTGTGCGACACTTTGTACAGAAAACTAATCAATGGAATATAAATAAGTGTGCTGCTTCCTTTTAAATATGAACATTAATAATGAAGCACATTCACATTTTTGCCTTTCAAAGACCCTTTAAAAAAAAAAAAATAAAAACACCTTTCCCAAAGTAACCTGGAACATGTTGTTAAATACAGCACGTATGATTCAAAGAATGGTATTAAGGTAGAAGAACTTTCACACACAAAACTGGTATTTGCTGTATAATTGGAGTGACTTATGAAAATCCCAAGAAAAGACAACCCTCTCACCAGGAGAGGAAGGTAAGAGTTGCAGTGTTAATTCAGTTTCTTCTGCAGGGGCTTGTTTTTATCTTCAGTGTTGTCAGGGCTGAAGTCAGTACAGATACCATTAGGAGCAGAAAGAGATGAAGTCTCCAAGCTGCTCTCAGCTCCCATCTGATCAGCATATAGATAGTCTTCTGCAAAGTGTGGGTGCAACTCAGCAAATGTGTAGAAGTCATCTAAAAAAAAATTTGTTGTTACACAGAATCAGCTCTTTGAAACAGGAGGATGCTAAATTTGAATACTTACACATATATAATCACATGATCTCTTTGGAAAAAAATAGCAGCAGTTAACATAAGGCTATCCCCATTGCTTGTTGCAGCTTCTTAGCATAAGTTTACCACATCCCCAGAGCTGAGATGCTGCAAAGAGTTATCTAAGCCCTCTTAAAACACTTCAGGCCAGACCTTACCTTGTATGAAGGGGTAAACAGGCTCAGATTTGCATTAAAATGCATGATGAGCACCACATGCCCTGATACAGCATCTCATTGGTCACTGGGGAAAGGGCAGAAGCCCTCCAGCTGAAGATCACTGAACAGCAAGAGTAGTAATTTCTTAAGTTCTTAAAGTCTTTTGCAAACATGCCCTTAAATGTTTTGCTTCAAACCCAACAGCAGTTGTCACTGCTGCCTTCTACTTTCAAGATTTCAGAATTTGGAAAGTCCTAATATTTTAGAGAACAATATTGTGAGAAGATAATTTATAGCATTTTATAAAAAACAAACCCGATTTTAATGTTGGATACTAATATGACAATAAAAAGAGCAATATTAGTTCTTGGGGAGCAGGGAATCCTTAACCTCAAGAAGTAACATTTTGTGCTAATAATTAGACATTGAAGCCTTGTCACACTTTGCCCATATGACTATTTATTCAGATATGATTTGAACACAAAACACTGTAGAGGATCCAAGTAATAAGCAGCTATTCTTACAATGTAAACTAACACTAGAAGAAGCTGGATGTGAACATTATCACTAATTCTGTCACCTACAGTGTATCATGCTCTGCCTACTCAAATTCACTGTGTTATTCCAGAAGAGCTCGTGATCAGGCCATGCTGTGAATTCCCCAGAGCGCAGGGCAGATAACAGCTGAAGAAGCCTTTCAAAGGAGTGAAGCCCAGTTCCTCCTTCAACAGTACTAAAGATACTCTTACAGTCACATTAAGCATAATCCTTTTTGCATGGGAAAGACTGCACTACTTAACGTAGATATCGTTCCAAGCAATTCCTCAAAAAGCTACAGTATCTTTTAAAAAAATAAATTCAGAAAATCCCTTGAAGCAGTTGTTCACACAGGTACAATAGTTTCTATCCAAATCATCATCCTGACAACTCTGTCAGGATCCATCCCTCAATGTTTTTGCAGTACTGTATCCGAATGAAAAACCTCAACATTCTGGGGAGGACTGAATTCAACAGGATGACATTCTGGATAGATCTCAGTAAGTTGACATTTTGAGTTTTGCTGAAATAAGTCGTGAAGATATTAAGTAATATTTCTCAAACTTGTACACAGCATAGCCCAAAAGAAAAGTGCTTAGGAACCCATTTGCCTCATTCACCAGAAATGTGAAATGACACAGAAGAAAAAACTACTCCAGCATTACTTCTAATTGTAGGTCTCACCTTGGAGCTCAAGCTGAAAGCAACTGTGAAGCATTAGACTGGAAGAAAAGGTCACCTTAGTCATTAACCTGGGGAAAAAAAGTAATTTTGCCTCCTAACCCTACCAAGAGCAAAGAGATAAAGAAAGAACCCGAAGTGGAGTTAAGACTCACAGCTACATTTTTGCATTAAGTAAGCATATGTCCTACAAGAACTTCAAGAGGTTTCTGTTTACACCAAGCAGGGCAGTTTAAAATGCTTTCATTATTTGTGTGTTGTCATACTCTATATTGTCAGTTGTCTACCAAGAGCTGGTGGAGAGTCTCCGAGGATTTGTGGTGCCTACTTACAGAGCCTAGTCCAACTCCCCAGAATCATGTCTTAAGACTGAGAAATCTTGCCTCTCTCTATATTACAGTGAAGGGATGAGCTTTGAAATCAAGGCATCTGAACAGTTAAGCCAACAGCACACTGCTTAAGAGAACTGATACACAGGTCCTTGGCCAACAGCGTGCTTTCAAACATCCAACAAGAATCCAGATTTCTAACAATTTAGATTCAGGATTATCAATCTAGTTATACAAATTTGATTTTGCTATTGGTTATTCTGTTTACCAGCAACCTTAGCTTTTCCCTTGGGATAAGATCTCTGGCTTCAAGGACTCTGCTGTACATGCAGCAATTTATGTTTGACACCTTGGATATTTTATCTTTTGTTCTTACTAGTAAGACTCAAGACCTAATTCCTGCTTCACATTCCAACACCCTAGAAAGAAGGAGATTGTGAGCAGACATCTCTGCTGTGTGTGTCCAAAGTAACATCAGTACTTTTCCACTAAACACAATGTTTTGATTTCTCAGAACTCGTCTGGACAATATCTTCAGAACTCTGTAGTCTGCAAGTTTTTCCACCTCTCCTTCCTAGTAAGTAAGAGCAACAAATTGAGAATGTGCGAAGTTCTACATATTCTCAGGAAAGGCAAGAGACTGAATATTTATGGCATGAACTTTCAAGACAGAAATACAATACCGAAGGTTTATTTGCCTCTTCTAATTCTCTACCACAATAAATTGGACATTTATTCTTACTATTAAGCTTTCAGATTTGTTCAAATCACAGCACAACATTTTTATTATAAAATTATAACATTTCACGGAAAAGGAACCAAGGAAAGTTTTAAAGAAATTATGTAAAAACCATCCTACTACCTACATCAAAGAAGACTGTTCTCGACTACAGGAAATAAAATAGTGAAAATGAGAGCCAAGCACTTCAGTGGCCCCTGCTGTGGCTAGGTAGTCCAGATTTTCTTTGATTTTGACCACTCAGGGAAAAAGTGCAGATTAAATGCAACTATTAAAGATGAATATTAAAGCATTAATTCTTTAGTAAATCACATGAACTGGTCTGAAATTCACTTGTACATGAGTTCAAGCTTAGCTATTCTCAAACAATGAAGTGTGCCAAAATTAGAGTTCTGTTAGGCTTACCAGTTTAAGATTCTGTGCTGGTATTTTTGAAGCTGGCGATGGGGAGGTGGGGAGAAGAGTTGAGTCACTGCACAAATCAGTTTGGAGTGATAGGCATGAAAAAGGCAATGGGCAGGATGTATGTGGAAATGCTGGGGATGTGACAGATGAAAGGTACAAAAAAGGAAAGGGGTAGTGCAGCAGGAACCCAGGAGAGAAGACAAAGTAGTCAGGAAAACAGGGAAGGGCAGTGGCAATGATAATCATTCCAGCAACTCTAAAATATTTCTGCAGTTGAAGCTTTACGTACATACTGTATGACTGAAACACAGGAATAACTAGTGTAGAAACTATGATTTACTAACACTGATGTCTTAATTTGTAAATTTTTTACAAATTAAATACATACTGATTATTCTGAAGGAAAACAGGTATGTCAAGGTATGTCATAAGCACCTCTACTGGAGATACGTGATATGCTGGCTATCAACAACTCAGTTCATACTTAAATGATACAACTAAATTTAGAGCCTTACTTCAGATTCATGTTTTGTGCAGTAACACTCAAGTACTTTGACTCCCCAGGACCATCTATTCACACGGGTCTCAATTTTTCAAATGTAACTTTTTCACCTCTGTACCACCTACATCACACACTATATATTAGGCAGCCTGGCTAACCCCCTCATTTCCTGCCCCCAGATACAAGAGACAAAACAACAAGATAAAACTAAAGTAGCTTTCTTTAAAAATACATATTCGCATACACGGAAGGCACAGAATAGAATATTCTCAAAGAGCTAATCAACATATTATGTACCAATGTGGAAGAGAAAACTTCTGAAGACATGCAAATACAGTGCATATTAAAGGTGAAACTTATATTTGTTAAAATGTAAATTTACTTGGTTTGCAGTGCTTTTATCAGCATTAAAGACAACAAGTCAACAAAAAAAGAGTTTAATAAAAATATAATTATGTATCAAGAGGAGTTCAGGCAACTTCAACATTTTCTGATGTTTCTGATCCACTTAAATTACTCACCATATGTAATCTTTCCTTTTTCTTCTTCATCTACAGCTCTGAAGAGATGTGTAACATTAATCTGTGATACACCCATGGCAGTCTTCAGAATATGCTCTAAATCCTCTTCTGTTATAGTTCCGCTTTCTGACTGATACAACTACAAATCAAAACAGGATGATAAATCAGTGCAAAGTCCTATAAACAGCACCACATTTAATTAAAGCAAAATTAAAATTTGGTATTGGAAATTCTAGTCACTCTCAGACTGATACTATATATTCAGGATTTCAGATTAGTCTGGGTAAAATGTATCTATCATCAGTTCACCTGTGTATGCTTAAAAAGCAAAGCGTATTATATTCAGAAAAAAATCCTATGCTTACATGCCTAACCACTGGAATTCAGTGAAAAGGCTGTTTAACACTAACATATTTCGCAGATATGTAACTGAGAATAATATTTAGTCCATTAAGTTGTATGTCCAAACTCCAAGACATTCTGTGAAATCACAAGATATATTTAGGTCAGCATAAAGTAGATGGCCTTTCCAGTAGGTCAGACGTAAAACTCAAGATTCCTTTGACCAATACCCAACAGCCAGTTTGCATAAAATGCCTATGTCTAAATGGTATTAATCAGCAGAATCCTCCCCCATATAGTGATGGGCCTATACTTTTCTGCAAAGACTTATTCCAGAAAACAATAATTTGCATATTCTTACATCCTGAAAAAGAGTTTCTGTTTCCTCACAGAAAGGGTTATCAATCTATCAGCAGTAAAACTAATTAAAAATAGTTGTTCATAGTCTTATTCTATCTTCACATATGTGCAGTGTTTTTCCCTGAAAAAATGGACCTGAGTAGCTCAAAACATCTGCACCAGTTACACAGCTTCATTAAACTTCTTTACAATGACTCAATTTGCCTACACAATGGAACATGAGACAAAAGAGTTTTTGAAACATGCCTGTCTCCTTTTCAAGCATGACAACACTGTAAATATTGAACCATGCTATGAATGCTATTTTGGAAACTTTCTTTTAATTTCTCTGCATCATTAGGAAGGTAAGAACTGATGATATTGAACAAAACAGGCGTAAGGATGCATTTTTCCACAAGCAGAATCTGCTGTCACAAGACAGCACACCTTAGTGGAATAAAATATTGAAGTGCCATGGAAGACAACACTCATGATTAAATCAGGTTAGGTGCTAGAGAGGAAGAGGCAAGATTGCTGATTTTTCACAGGAAAATCTGCAAGGCCAAAACTTGTTTAATAAAACCTGCTACATTTTTACAGAACAAAGTGATATTTGATGGTCAGGTTCGCATACATCACACTGACAAGATTTACAACACCCTTTAGTTTCATTAGCCGTTCGCAAGGGAGGACATGTAGCTCTTATTCCAGAGTGCTGCTCTTAGCACTTGACTGCCATAATACCCCCAATGTCTTTTAATTGCCCACCAATGTAGAAATCTAGTGGCTCTGTAACTCCTATTTTTCACAATCACAGAATTATTACAGTTGGAAAGGATTCTGGAAATCATCTAGTCCAACCCCCCTGCCAATGCAGGGTCACCTATAGGAGGTGACATAGGAACATATCCTGCTGGGTTTGGAATGTCTCCAGAGAGGGAGACACCACAACCTCCCTGGGCAGCCTGTTTGAGTGCTCTGCCACCCTCAGTGCAAAGGAGTTCTTCGTCATGTTGAGGTAGTACTTCTTGTGTTTTAGTTCATGGCCATTGCTCCTTGTCCTGTTGCTGGGCAGCACTGAAAGGAGTCCTCTTGGCATCCATCTTTGAGATATTTATCTGCATTGATGAAATTCCCCCTCAGTCTTCTCTTCTCTAAACAGGCCCAGCTGCCACAATCTCTCCTCATAAGAGAGATACTCCAGACACCTAATCATCTTTGTGGCCCTCCCCTGGATCCTCTCCAGTAGCTCGTTGTCTTTTTGTACTAAGAAGTCCACAACTGGACATAGTATTGCAGACATGGCCTCACTGGGACTGAGTAGAGGGGGAGGATCACTTCCCTCAACCTGCTGGCCACACTCTTCCCCATGGGCCCCAGGATACCATTGGCCCTCCTGGACCCAAGAATACACTGCTGGCGCATGGAAGACTCCGAGGTCCTTCTCCACAGAGCTGGTCTCCAATAGGTCAGCTCCCAGCCTGTACTGGTACTTGGGGCTATTCCTCCCTGAGTGGATCCTCCACCTTTGCTGAACCTCATTAGGTTACTCTCTGCCCAGTTCTCCAACCTATCAAGGTCCCCCAGAATAGCAGAAAAGCCTTAAGGTGTATCAGCCACTTACCCCAGTTTTGTATCATCAGCATATAACGATACTATTTTTCAAGTTCTTCAGCCATATAATAAACACTTTCACTTTGAAAACTTGTAGCTATGTGAAATGTTGCACTTTCCCTGAGAGCAAATGACAATGCTCAGCAAAAAGTAGCACGTGGCAGAGGACAGTATCTGTTCAAAGTCGTACCTTCATGAACTGGTTAGAACCTGCAATAACTCCAGGTAAGCTCTGTGAATATCTTATGGTACATGGAGGCAGGACATGAGGTAGGAAAGGATTAAAAAAAGGTTCTCTTTCCTTTTTTTTCTAGAATAATGAGCAACATTTCCTCAGTGTGAGACTTTTCTTAACCCTTCCAATCATCACTAGCAGGATAAAATGAGCCATACCCACTTCCCTTTCTTACATGCATAAATCATCTTTGCAGTTTTATAGCTAAATTTATATTTTGCAATTAACCAGGCAACTCAGAATTATGTGCTAGGAGTTGAAGAATGAAGTAGATAATGAAGAACAGAAATTTTACGAAGAAAAACAGTTCTATTAAATTCGAATACTTCCAAAAGGAAAATAACTGTCCAATCTGAGCTTTTCCTCCTCTCAAATGGTACAATTATATTGTGCATTATGAATCACAACAGCTAAATTTCACTAAAATATTTCCCCAAAGCCCCCTTCAATATTACTTTAAGCAATAAATTACTTCATTACTTACTATGATGACACAGAGCTGACCAAACAGGACCTGACTATTTCTATATGCCACTACATAGATCAAATTGATCAAGTAAGGACAGAGACCTTCCTGCTTTTGCCTCAGAAGTAGTAGTAAGTAGCAGCAGCTACTAATGACAAATTTCCCCCAAAATCTATAGGAACTAAATATTTTTGTGTGTTCCTCCTTTGTCAAATTTGATTCTGGTCAAAGGGTAAGCATATACATGTGAACACCAAGCATCCACAGGAGTCTCACTTCTTGAGTGTACCATAGTTAATGTTACACAGGTATGGTGAGGGACCTGAAAATAATTACTTGGAAAATAAGCTACCATATAGTGCCATGCAACTGAATGTTGACAGCATTAAGAGTTAGCATTTTCAGTTTCAGCAACACGAAAGACCATGTGAGGCCAAGCCAAATGGAAAAGATGATGCAGGAGACAGCAAAGTTTGTGTGTTGAAATAGCAGTGTTGAAGAAATTAATGGAAAAGAAATAATTCAAGGTGTCCAAAACCCAAGAGAATGACAAATATTAAGCACTGTTGCTGTCACTTTGCCAAAAAAGCCTGTATTAATGATCTATGCTGATGCTACAACAAGTAGAACAAGATTAGGTATACTTCTAGGAAGCATAAAGTCTGGAAAAAGACTGCAGGACCACCACAGAAGCATGGTAAGACTAAGAGGGAAGAAAATCTTAATAAGAAATAAAAAAATAATCTCTATTAACACGTAGGAATTTTTTAAAAATACTTTATTAACTTGAAAAGTATGATTTGATTTAAACATTCTAAAAGTAGTAAGTACAACTTAAGAGTCTTTAGTTTAGAGGAATCAATACAAAATACTTGAGGTTTGAGACTCAATTTGCTGAGAAGGATTCTACCAGAGTTCTACAAATAACAATATCAAACTGCAAACTTCCATAATTTTACACAACTTGAACTTGCAACGGATTTCCTCTTAAGATGACCTCTTAATCTAACTTTCCATTGTTGTAAAACGTAATAAAATAATTAAAGGGAACGTGAAACTTACTATTAAGTCCAATGGCAGTATAAAAAATTTCTAAAAATAAGTAAACCACATAAAGCAAGAAAATGTTGCTTACCTGAAATGCCAGCTGAATTGTTTCCAGAGTTTTGGATGGCTTACAGACAACTGACAGAGCAATGACAAATTCCCGAATGTCAATTACACCATCTTCATTCTGTGAAGGAAAACCTCCCCTCAAAATAGTGCAGTTTGTCTGAGAATTTTCATAATAACAAACAGTTGCTAAATATGCAGAATATTCAGAAAGATATTTACATATGCCATGGAGTCTCACTGAAACGAAATCACATGAGGGCAAGAACCTGTGTGAAAGCTGAGCAGGCCCTACTTGGAGTCTCAGTCAAAAGTCATAGTTTAAATATTCTTAGAAGATAGTGCTGCTGCTGTCACCCTTCACTTGCATATTTAAGATTTTTACATTAACCATCTGAATTACTTGGCTGAAATTAAAACCAGAGAACCAGAGGACAACGCAGTCTAATTTATGCCATGAATATAAGACATGTTCTCTTTGGTCTAAGAGAGAACATTGTGGACATATCCACCTCCCGGTCTAAACAACACCTCACCCAGACAAAGATAATAGTAATTTCCCCGTTCCTCTGACTGCCAGAGGAACAAGAAGTCCTTCAAGTTTCAGGCATCCTAGAAAAACAGGTAATTTATTTACAAGGTAGGCAAAATATCAGCTAACAGATGCTGCATTCAGTTGCAGTGAGCAGCAGCAGAGGTTTAGCCTGACCCTACCTTTCTTCCTCTTCATATTTTGCATCTAGAAAGAAATTTTTGTCCAGTTGATACTCCGTTTAACTTCTACCTGAACAAATGCTTTATTTAGCTGGTGACAGGTGCCCTTATGTTGGTGAAAGGGAAATGTAGTAGGCAAACACTATGGTGAAATGCTCAAAATCATATCTTGGTGAATGCAATTGGAAAAGAAGTAGGCTGAAGTGGAATTTACAAAAAGTATTGACATTTTTATTATATGTTGATGCTTACCTCATCAAAAAGTGCGAACATACTTTCTAATGTGTGAGAAACTGGAAATTCCAAGTATGCTGAAAATTCTTTAAGATCAACCTTTTCTTTCTTCATTTTCATGGCACTTGCAGCATATTTATCAAGATCATCTTCAAGTGTTTCTGGCTTCAGCCTAGAAAGCATTATTTTTGCACATTTCAAAAATAAACCAAATTTTAAGAATGCACATTTTAATATACCAAATGAAGCAATGGATGATAATGGTGTAAAGCATTAAAAAACCTGCAATCAGAATTATTACACAACTTTTTAATAAAATACTGGATTCCTATAATTTTAAGGCTCTCATTAGTTCTGATACAGGGAACTGTATTAGAAGTTACTACAAAGGTTTAAGAACTCTGGACATAAACTTGTGTCCTTTACCTTAATTGTAAGTCATATGTGTAAGCAGTTCAACATGAAGAAACACAGTCTAGAACTGATAAATACCAAGCACAGAGAAACTAGGTGGAATTCAGGTCACCTGAATACGGCTGTATTGTAGGACAGTAACATAAACCAATTATGTTTCCGAATTTACTAATGTCACTGAACAGGAAAGACCTGATGCATCTTGCCTAAAAAAAAAAAAAACCAGGGATTACATAATAGCGATTATACTGTTAATCCTGTTTGTCAGTCCTCATTTTTCACATTCAGTCCAGAGTTGGACACCCTTATAAGGTGACCTACACAAAATCATAACAGTGCATACAGTAACAGAATTTCCTCAGTCCTTCTTCTTGCAAAACCAGATTTTGACTGATGAATGAACAGCTTTATAATTATGTCGTTATCTACTTCAGGGTGGCTGTTTTTTTTTTTTTTTTCCCCTAAATCAAGCTTCCTGTTTCTGCAGTCTTACAATCAATATAATAAATGGTGCTGCAGGCACGCAAGGAAAAGTAGATTCTCTCCCTAATACAACATCAAGCACATCTTGATCAGCAGGTTTCCTCTGAAGTGATTTAGGGTAACATGGGCATCCAAACTTTCCAGTCTGAAGACAAAAGAAGCCAATAAAGTCTCCTACAATATCCTTCTGAAGTTGCCTGTTTTGCTGTTCGCTGCTGCAGACAGGGAAAAGCAGTTATTTGCAGAACTCAGAAGCTCACTGTTCCCAGGCTGCAGCTGGGACTCCTCAGCAGCTTCCTCTCAAGTAACAAGAATGAATAAAATGCTTAATATCAGCATTCTCAGGAGCTTCTGAAAAAAGATAAGAGCATTTTTGATAGGAAGATTATCTGTTACATCAGTTCCAGAACTTGATTGCTTGCTGTAATGACCCTTCCTAAACATCATGGCTTTTAAGTAAAAATACAACTACCATGCTGTCTGTCAGGACCTATACTGACCAAATATGTACTACCTAAATAATGCCAAGTCCTGTATTTCTGAATTATAAGATCTGAAGAAGGTCGTGAAAGAATTCTTCCAGAGACCCATGGCTCCCACAGAACATTTGTATGTTCTTCATCCTAGCATTAAAGCACCTATCTTAAGATTTAGTTCTAGACAGCATGAAAAGAGGAGTGAGACACCCCTCTGCAAAGATTCACTTTTCATGACGAAGTAGAAAAATAAAAGGAACAATAAAATAAAAATCCATAGAGGATTTGAGATGCACACAGAACTCAGCTACTCACATGCAGGATTACATGCAAGAAATGTCCACAGATAATACATGCCACTGTAGTAGCTGAAATGGATTTCAACTGTGGTGTAAGGACAGCTGGCATCCAAATCCTTCCTTGAGATAAGCCACCACTGACACAGAATATATAGTCCAACATCTGTCTCTAAATCAGAGAGATTTGGTTTGCAATGAATTGACTCAAAATTCGCGTTCTATAACTGAGGGAGTACCCCTTTGGTGAGTAGTATTCAAGACTTGCAAGATGTCCTCTTCATCAGTAATTAAATTTGAAAAGCTAAAATACAGTTTGAAGGCAAAACCTTGCATGGAAAATAGTATCACTTAACACAAAACTTACAGACATCTTGTGGTTTGTCTTTTCTAAATACAGAAGATGCATGCCAATCTCAAAAGTAGTATGTGGATCAGTGAGGCAAACACTGCTTCAACTTGAGTATATCTGCATTACACTTCTGGTAATCCAAGATGGGCTTCCCTCTAGCCCTTCAAAATCAGAAAGTAATTGATGTATTGATGATCAAAGCTGCTATGCTAAAGTTTTCTGAAACCAAGTCCAAGTCTTGTAATAGGTTCTGAACCAATGTGAAATGGTTTGAATGTCTCAATTCCCTTACAATTTTTACTTTTATCTCAATGAAGGCCATAAAAGCTAGAAAGCCAACAGCAAATGTCTTTACTGATGAAGTCATGCTTGTTGGTCTAATGGCATCCACGCAGGATCTAGGCTTTATGATAAAAAACATTATGTGCTGTTGTGGTGGTTTGCTTTATTTTCTAGGTCAGTGCACACTAAAGAGAACAAAAAGTCATTCCTGAGTCCATGAAGATGGAAAGGACATTTTTCAAGATTAACATTAAATTCTGAACATTAAATTCTGAACATTAAATTCTTCACAGCAGACTTCACAAGGAAAACCAGATCCCTGAAGGTAGAATATTTTCAGCATAATTACCACTATTTTTAGCAAGTAAGCTAGTTTTAGCTGCATTTGACTATTTGAAAACAAACTCCCTTCTTGCATGCTGGGAACCTGCCAAAAACCTTCTAGTGTCTCACAGAGCTGGAAGAACAGCTGGATCCTGTAGATAGCTACTGTAAACTGCAAGCAAAGAGAAACATGCCCTAAGTCAGAAAAGCACAATACATTCAGTTTTGTGTCTGCTGATGTACTTCTGTGCTACTTCATATCATAATGGAGAAAGGATACTGAACAGCTGCAAAATTGACCTTCTTGAATACTCTGAGTACTGCTTTTATCAGAAATGCAGATGGACAACATCCTCCAGAAGTGTGGTGTTTTTTTTTTTTTAATAGATGATCTCTGAACTCTCTGAAGTCACTGAACTATTAGTTAGCTGTGAGGGTTATTACACTGGGGATTAAAAATTCTGCCGACAGTCTGGACCACCACTTCAGGCACACATGTAAAGCAGAAGTTGGCATTGTAGCCTGAATAGTAAAGACTGTTGAGCAAGAAAAGACAGGCATCAGGCCTATGAGGTAATTATTTACTCCTTACAGATCTTTTTAGAAGCCTATAGTAGCATTGTCTAGTAGGATCCTCACAACTGACTTGATAATACTGGAGAGTAGTAGTCAGGAATTCATGCCATTCTTACCAAAATACCAAGGCTTCTAAGAGACGGCAAAATTGATTAAAACCAGTGGGTTTGAATTTCATTGAATTTCACCAGGGCCAGGGAGTATGTAAGGAGGCAAACCTTGCAGGCACTCCAAGGTTGTTGAATATTCCTCCAGGGCAGACATTAATAGTAGCCATCACATGGGTACAAGATGCCAATAATACTCAGGGCAGGAAAGCAAAGAGAATTCAAAAAGAGTTCAAACCCAAATTGCTGCCCATTGCTAAAGATAAAAATTACTAAAAATAATCCTACTGCAAAAGCAAAGAAGTCTAAAAGGTAAGAAGAGTGGATTTTCCTGAAATACGATCTAAAAAAGATAATGTGGTGCAAACTGTATTTTTTGAAACACATAGTCAGCAATGCCATGCTGTCTTCAGTGAAAAGCACAAAGAACCTCACAGTCTGTGTACTAAAGGCATACACCACATCAAGAACCTGCCAAACCAAAGAGTCTTGTGCTACGTGTACACCAATAATAAAACACACATTCACCATGTTACCATATGATAGTTTTGCTGTATTTTCTATACTGATCGCTTTTTGATGCACAAAGTGGAAACCAACTACCATGCAGAAAGACAAAATGTGTCATCTTTACAAGTATGAGTGCTGCCAGGCTGAAAAAAACCCCTAGGGAATACAGATGCATAACCTTCCTTTTTAAAGAATATTTTTTTCCAAAAAGACTTTAAATTAATAAGAAAAATCAGGAAGTAGAAAACAGTGACTAAAACAGATGGACGTAGCACACATCCACTCTTGCTATGTGTTCCAAATCATACCTAGGGTTTTAAAAGTGAAAGATTTGGGATAAAGCAACCATGAAGCAAAAAAATATGAAACAAGCATGGGATATGCAAACAGATGATCCTTAATCTATTGATTCTTTTCTCCTCCTCCCTTACAGCCAACCCCCCCTACCCCAAAAAAAAACCAAAAAAAGCAAAAGGCCAGGACCACTAGAATTAGTTAAACAAAATTTCAGGTTACTTAAGACTTGACTTAAGCCCCATCTAACAGCCTGCAGAATACAGTTACTAAAAAAATTCTACTCTGGTTTGCAATATGTGCTCCATCTGGTTTTTTCTTTTCTTAGAAAAGAGAGATATCTCTTATTTCCAAAAAAACAAAACAATTAAAACTGAGAACAATAACAACTAAAAAAAAAATTAGAAAACTGAATTCTGTAAAAACCACTGATGGTCTAAAAACCACTGTTCCGTAAGAAAGGGGAACAACAGTTACAGTTGGAAGGTCCTTCTAGTTCATGAGCAACGTGGATATAGGAATTAGAACAAACAGAAGTTTGAAAGAATAAAAACAAATCAACTCAAATCAGAACTCAAGGACCTCCTTGCAGGCAACTACCATAAAGCATCTCATAAAAAGATGGAGATGTGATTTAATTAACTGTATTAACACTTCCTGAAGAAGATAATCCAAAGACATCTTTAGTAAGGGACAAAACCCAAACAAGGTTCAATGTCTAGAATATGGTAATAGACCCAGCCCAAGTAAAAATAGAGACTCACTTTAAACAGTGGGTTTATGCAGTAAATAATAAAAAAAAGCAGAGGATTTACAATGTGTAAAAGCTATAATACACACTGCATATAGCTTAGCAATCAGCTCATTGGTCAGACCTAAATTATCAGTCTCAAGAGAAGCAAGACTGCTTGAGGACTAATGAAAGCACAATTTGAGAAGGTTAGTCTATGATCAGTTGATCTCTTTGATAAAGCAGTCATTTTACCAAGGAGTTCAGTGCGAAGCAGCTGAGTTTCAGCCAGCTGTATAGCTCCGTTAACAGAGCCTGAGCTCTTCGTTAGATGAAGCATGAGAACTCACTGCTGTGGCTGCATGGCTTCTGGATTGAATCCCATCCAGCTGAGCACAGACTAAGCAAATTTTTCAGACAATGACAATGAATTCTCTAGATATATAATGTGCACAGAAATAACTCTCCAGTGTAGCAAACTGAGGTGTAAGTTGATTTCAAAGAATGTAAACCAAAAGGAGTCTGAATTTGTCTCACTAAAGAAATCTTTTAAAATTGCATGTTACCTCAAAGGTATGTCACTGGTCAAAAGCAAGTATTAACACTTGATGAAAAATCCATTGGATAAAACTTACTGTTCCAGTAATTTAGCTAAGCAAGTGGATGCTCTTATTGCCTCCCTGGCCTCAAAACCTTTGAATAAACAGCAAAATGACTACATCTCTTCAAACGTGCATTAAAGATGAAGTCATATTACAATTTCATCCAACTGTACCAGAAAAATACCATCATAATAGCCTTCTAATTGGCACATACTCAACTCCAGACAGGATATTTCACCAATGAATAATTTCTCAAACCAGAGAGGGAACTTTTGGGCTGCAGGGAACCTCAATCACAAATGCATGTAACTGTTTTAGAGGCCAAAACAAAAACCCAGAAAAGCATAATTTGAAAGAACAGCTTTAAACTGAGCAGACAGAAGCCAGACAACTTAACAAGAGGATTAAACTGAATCCTGGGATTATCAGCTGCATAATAAGAGACGTGGGTGGTTGGTTTGCTTTGTTTCGCTTGCTATTTTTTCTTGGTACTGTAAATTCAGAGCCTTTGAAACAAAGTGAGAATCTTTTTTTGCCCTTAGAAGCCTCTCCTGTCCTAATGGAAGTCTTTTCAGATGGAGGTCCTTACAATGGATTAATATATGTTTATCATCTGAATGCATAATGTATAGCTGTCCTACATTCCTTATGCTCCAATACAGCTTTGCTCTTTTTTATTTTCATTTATGTACACAAGCTGAAGATGAAGGAAAAAACAGTGGAAGGAAATAAAGGTACAGAATAAAAACATCAAACTGTGCTCTATACTTTCAGTTGATGAGACAAAAAATCAGAAAAGGTGTTTGCATATTAAAACAGTTAATAGGATGACACTGCACATTTAGTTTGTGGTTATTCAACGGGATTACTGGAGAAGCAGGAAAAAAACTGGAGAACACCAGCAACAAGTTCTACTATTTGATTTATGTGAATTTTTCCAGTTTGCTGAGGCTTTTCTGAAAGGTAAAGCCAGCGGGAAATGACACTATGGGAAGAAAGAAGAGAAGATCCATGCTGAATATACTGAGCTAAAGTTTCATTAGAAAGTCCATCTGGCAGTAACCTACTCAAAAGATCAACTACCACTTTCTGCTTCTTGGGAAAGGGTGACCCCTCTGTCCTCACTATTATGAGGTTAATCCAGTCACAAGACTGCCATGGCAGCCCTCGTTTTCCCTTCACCAATGTCCCAGGAAAAGGCAATTGATTCTTAACTGTAACATATATTAGGAATCCCACAGTATTCCTGACCCTCTTCAGAAAGCGTCTTCTAGTTTTGCTCAGGAATGAACGCTTCAGACTCACTCTGCTGACTTGTCAGGCAAAAAATAAGAACTTTACAACCTACTTCACAATCATTAGGATTCAGAGGTGCTGCTTGCAGGTGAATTATAATAATGATTTTATTTTACATGGGTGTTTCCTTGATCATATTATGACAACATTCCATATATATTCATAAATGCAGTATTTTAATATGAAGGAAAAACTGTATAAACATGGATATATAATAAATATGCACCTTACATATAAATATTGTATATGCTCACCCAAGGCTTCTCACAAGCTTTGCAAATTCTAAAAGACACGTATCTGAAGGCAGACGAAGTTGTCCTTCAGCCAAAGCTAGCTGACAGTCTTCAAATGTATAGTCTGTCACTGAAACTCCCAACGCCCTTAAATAAACCAAAGAAACACTGTAAATAAGACAATCTATGAAAAATGAACACGATCATCACTTTTTTAACAGCAAAAAATCCCGTATTATGCTCTCTAGTCCAAAAAATTATAAGAAACAGCCTATAAGAGTAAGTTCACATAGACAGAATGAAATATGGACTTGATCCATTGCAAAACATCTATTTTGACTTTATGAGGCCATACAAATATGCAAGAACAAAAGGGAAAAATTAGGCAGTGCACAGTTTCATAGACATATAAATTCACCTATATTTTCAGAGAAGTGAATAATGAGGGTTTCAAGATTCTTAATCTAGAACACAAATACATATTTATCAATTATTTTCAATATTTTTATTATTAATTTATTAATGTCAGTGTAATCACTTGAGCAGAACAGCTACTACCTTCAGCTAATACTAGTATTATATGACAGGTGACATTTCTCTATAAAGAATTGCTAGAACATAACATATAAAAGCAAGCAGAGTTAATCTCCACGCAAACACAAGCTATTTTTAAGTGTATGATGTGAGAAAGGTAGAAGAAAAAAATACTCTCCAGCTTTTATGTATCAACAATTGTGTATTCATTTTTGCTTTACTTTTAACTTCATGGTCTGTAGTAATAGTAGCACCACAACACACTCCAAGGAAATCCTGATATTGTAGCTGCCCTTCATTTGCTATGCAAAGTTGAGAGGAAGACATTTTAGTTTGGAAGAGGCATTTAAGATTTCAGTTTAAGATAAAATTTAGAAAGGAAACACTGTTCTGTATGAGTTACTCATCTGCCATGATTTCCACCATACTTGATTTTACTTATACTAATACGGAACATTACCTCCTTTATGCAGCCTTTCCCAGTTTAATGAAACCTCAAGAATTTTTTTTATTGACTTACCTTCATTCTTTCCACCTACAGTTTTTCTAACTGACTGCTAATCACCTTTTTCATATGTGAAGTTAATATACACTAATGGCAAGATCGATACAAAACCCCAAGGCATGCCACAGTCAGTCTGGCTTTGATGAAAACTCTGCATTCAATTCTATGCTTTATTATAAATAGTTCGATTTCTAATGGCAGTTGCTTCTCATGCAATGAACAATTTCTATTAAGCAGTCTGTTCCTCAGAATCTCATTCTAAAGCCTTTGAATGCCAATGTAAATAACATAAGCCAACATAAGCTCTTTTGTTCATCAATTAATTATCAAACTTCAGGAATTCCAAGATATTAGTAAGACATGCATTTAACCTTAAAGCTACTGGTCAGGGTTTCACTCTTCTCTTTAAGGTTGACAAAGTCAAACATTCAGGAAGAACACCTTGCTAATAGATATTCAACCTCGAAAGTACCAAATTCACTAAAAATAGGTATTATTTATAAGCTATTTATGAATAAAAGAAGGACATAAAAGGTAGTCATCTTGAATCAATAGCCTTCCTCTTGCCAAGAAGAAACAACAAAAAGGACAAGGCCAACTAAAGCAAAAATATACAGGTACATAGAGAAGTCAAAATCATGCAGATTGTTGAAGACTGGATTGCCTCATATTGGTGATCTTAAGCAATTAAATTCAGTTCCTCCAAATTTTTCTCTTCTTTATGTGTTCCTGTTCCTCCTCCTACAAAGTGTCCTAGTACTATCTGTAAAACAGTAAACACTTCATGGAACAGAAAAGAGATTCCTGTGATACCTTACTTCATCCCAAAGACTTAGAGTTAACATAGCAATGCATATAGTGTAAAATACAGATGAAGAACTCCCCCATGCTGTGGGGATTTAAATCCATTTCCAAGTTCAACCTGACTTAGAGATCAGGTACCATGACTTTTGTCAAAACTTCTGTTTTACAGTATTTAATACAGGGTATTACAAAAGATTGAATCACTGGTATTTTACAATACAGAATCAATTTTCCTCAAAAGAAGAAAAAGAAGCAGATGAAAGAGACAGAATCTATCCTGCCAGTTGAGATTACTTCCCATTCCCTTCTTTTGAACTGTCTGTGCGCTCAATCATCCCTAGAGCCTTCCATGTCAACTGTCAGTGAAATAGCTGAACCTCTAGGTCAGCAAGGACATGCTATAAGCAGTACTGTTCAGAGTAGTATACATAAAAGAATATGATAACAAACAAAGATCTTGTCAAGCCAAGCACATTACACCAAAATTCATCAGTTCTTAAGGCCACAGTAGGTATAGTATGCAAGAGAAATACAGGAACTTACAGGCAATTAGCTAAAGCACAGGGCAACTACATGGAAAAGAGGAAGCTGCTTAAAAATAAGTTAAAAGAAACTGAAAGGATAAAGTGTTCCTCTGTTGCACATATTAGGGAATCAGGAGAAGTAGTAAAACATTTAACAAATAAGATTCTGAAAGGAAAAAAAAAAAATTAGTGTGACTCAAACTGATTAAAAGTGGCAATGAGAATGAAGAGACTTAGAAAAAAAACCAAACCAAACCCCCAACCTTCTCAAGGAAAACAAGAGAAGAGAGACAATTTAAAACATAACCATAAGGTGGCAAGCCAAAGCAAGAAATAATAACTTTTTAAAAACAAAAGCATGACACTTTTCAAACACATCAAAAGAAAGATGACCAGGAAAGATGAGGGCACTCAACCTGGGAGGAGGGTTAAAAACTGACTGCCATCCCAGAACCAATGCCAGATTTAAATACCTTTATAAATAATGGTCCATGAACATGTTGAACGGGTCTAGCTGAAGAGGAATTAAAAAAAAAAACCAAACAAATAATCAACAAACAACCAAACCCAAACTTAAGATACAGAACAAATTCAAAACAAAAGCAGGGATCACCTCAGACTTAGCCAAACCACCAGGGGGAATGACAACCATCATCTTTTTATAGCTTTGTGCATCTCTAATAAAAGACATGGTATTTGGGCCAGTATAGGAAAATGCCCAATACTACTAATACCTGCTCAATGTCAACACATACACGAAACAGGACTGAGAATGGCAAAAGCAGCTTCTCTTGTTCACCTATTGGCAATTTTCCAGTCATTGGACTTTAAAAAAAAAAAAGACAAATGGACATAAACAGTGTATGTGTATATATATATATACACATCCAGACTTTCACAATAACAAAGATCAGAAGTAGAGAAGGGAAGAAACAACTTTAACTCACAGCAAAGTTCAGTCATAGAATCAATCAAGGCCCGATAGAGTCCAAGGGGCTCTTTAGTTCAGAAGACAAATTACAAGCTGTATAGGACCCTGATTTCAGCTCAGAATGTCGAAGAAACTGAAGCTGGAGAACATATAAACTTTATTATTTGTGACAAGAATAGTGAATTTTGCAGTTTCTTAGAATAAAGCCTGGCATACTAGAGCTCCCTGTAAGGCCTGGGTACAACTGCAACTCGCAGGATTTTCTACAGAACCAGTTACTAAACTATTTTAACTTATCTCCAGGGCAACCTTTCTCTACTTCAAACTGCAGGAAAAAAAAAAAAAAGCCAAAGAAAACAGATAATTTCAATTTGAGATGAAAACCACAAGTGCAACTCCATATTTTTAATAAACTAGAAATAAAACAACTTTTCCCGTATCTTTATTTAAAAGCATTTTTTTTCTCTTCTCTTCATACTACCTCTGCTTGCACAGCCAGTTAACATGAGCCTGGACTTTTTAATGTTCAGCAAATTTGTATGGCCTGACATGCATGTCTGGCTCGACAAACCTTGAGATTTTTTCCCTCCCTGACTTCCCTGAAATGCTTGCTATTTACCTTTGAAATTTCATGTAATATGATATCATGAAAGTCAGGAAGTCACTAAAAATAATAAACCCAAATGAAACAAAACCCCAGGAGCTTTCCTGCAAACTCAATCTATGACACAGAACAGTTGCACTTGTTATACCCTGATGTCAACACCAAACAGCTCCCCATACCTAACACTTGTGCAGTCATAATATAAAGTAAATGATCAACTTTCTCATTTTCTGCATACCAATCCACTATGCATGCAAAAGGCTGAACATAAAACAGAATGTGACTGCTGTAATATTATGAGAAGTGAGAGAAAATAGTACAGGCAATATCGTGACATTCTGAATCCACACTTCAACAAAAACACTTTAGAAGTGTTTTAAATTGGTAATAAGCAGAACTGTAAACTAATGAAGAGAATACTTCACAGGTTGCTCAAAAAAACCCTCTATAAATCAGCTATAAACTTTATAAGGTGTTGAAAATATTAAGATGACATCAAATTTGTTATTTTTCTTCATTATCATATGTTCAGCAAAAAGACAGACAAAACACAGTGGACAAATAACTCCAATTACTAGTAGTCATTTGTACAGAAATTTCCTGAACCAGAGACCACTCATACTGCCATGTTTTAGAATCACTGATTAACCACATTTTTTTTTACAGTATATCTCAGCTCTGATGGAGTCACTTTATGTATCTCATAGTGAATGCCACAATTTTGTGCATGTTTTAAAGACTTGCTCCACTTAATTTCAGCTGATCTACTGTTGAGTGCTTTCTCTCTCTTCTGCTATGGAATCCCTTACTGTGCATTTCCAGAACACCCATCAATTTTGCTGACCTTGAAAACAATCCTGAACTATTTTTTTTTTTTTAATGCTTTCCCAAATTGAAGAGCTTTTACCTATTTAGTTTTGGAAGGTCAGAGTAGATAGTCCCTTTTCTCTCCTCAGACTACTACTTTGTGACATTCTCCAAGCAAATGAAGGTCTAGTCATGAGTCTGAAGTTCACATTAGGAATAGAGTATCTCATGATGGTTTAATTTTTAGACAGAAAAAGAAGCTTCCAACAGCTGCACTTCTCCCTGGCTGAAAATGGGTCCTGTAATTGTTGGTCTTGTAGACTTGCACATCACAGATCTTCAAGGGTGAAAAATGAGGCAGATTTTCCTTGTGTTGTCAGCATCGAAAAATCTAGCTCAAACCAAACTGCTGCAAATTATTACTTAACTTTACAAAATATATTTCTTCTGTGAGAAAATAAATGTAGCAAGAAGTTGCACAGTTAACCCTGTTCTGTAACTATGTTTGCCCAACTGCCACAACCACAGCATTCACGGAAATGAACAGAATGCAAATCTCCATTTTTGTATGTGACCTGGAACCCAAACCAAGCACAGAATCCTTTAGGTTGGAAAAGACCTCTGAGATCCTTGGGTCCACCCCCTGACTGATCACCACCTCGTCAGTGAGGCCACAGAACTAAGTGCCATGTCCAGTCATTTCTTGAACACCTACAGGGATGGTACAGGGATGCCTCAGATGGTATAAAAATGCCAAAAAAAAAGTCTTGAATTTCAAAGTTGAATGCTGAGCATCCAAGCAGTACCTGTGCAGAATCACATATGAAACTTCAGACAGCACAGGCAAAGAGCACAGCAGCTTTTCCAAAGTTAAATTTAACTGGTCACTGAAAACAACATATAAATATGAGACAGATCAGTAAGCTACTGTAAACCCACATCCTCAAGGCTACTCTTCAGCAACCAGCATTACTGCATCACATATAGTGGCAGAGATCACATACTGATGCTGTCAAAGCCTTCAAGAAAAAAAAAAACAAAACTGGTTTTGACTGCATAGAAGATGACAAAAGGTAAGATGGAAACAGAAGACTATCTGTAATATTCTTTGCCTTTATCAGTAGCTGGAAAAGAGTATTTGTTTTTCAAAAGCAAAAATGTAATGCTCATATGTCAGGCTGGTAAGTTGCTGCTCTAACTGTATGACATGCTCCAACAAGGGGAAAGATATCCTGGCAAACATTTGACAGAGGAAATATAAGAAAGACAGATGTTTTCAAGTTTCATGTCCAACACGCTGCATTTTAATTGATTTCAGTATGTACTGTAAATATAAAAATACATCTTTAAATGTTTGTGTCAGTGATGAAGAAAAAGAATAACTGGAAAAATGCAAGCTTGACTATGACATTTTGGTATTTCTTCAGGAAGTCTGCCGTACTGGGCTCACCAAAAGAGAAACTTCAGAACTCCTGGCCAGTGTCACACACGTAGTTATAATGCTGAGTTTAGCACTACATATATCAGAAAAATAAAATATTCAAATCAGGAGCGCTGACAGAACTTCGGTTCTGAGTTTTCTTCCAATTTTGAAAATCAAAGGAGCAAAGGTGTCCTGTTTCCATCAAGTTTCAGTTTAAACATCTACCCCATGCAATAATTAACAAATCTGCAATATTTTAGCTTGCTTTTCCCCCAAATTGTACCATCTAAACTGTATTCTTCCCTATTTTGAAGATAGTCTCTGTAAGAGAAACTAAAAGAAAACAAAGGAAAACAAATTGTGCTTATATGTTAATAAGATACCAATGAGTCTGTGTATAATTATTTAATCAGTTTATATCTGTAATTATGGCTGAGGTCACTTTAGATTTGCACAAAGAGCCTGCAGTGCAAATTTTCACAATTAGCTGCCTACACTACCACTGACTTATCTATGTACAAAAGGAATTTTTGCAACTAAATAGAAGCTGAACAACTGTCATACTCCTTCCAAGTATATCTGAGACCTAAGGGATAGCAAGGTAACAAACCAGCTTTTTTTTTTTTTTTTGGCAAAGTGGGAGTGAAAGAGTTACCTACTTTTTCTTTAGAATAGAATTTCTACACTCTAAACAGTGGTAAAATGAGAAAACTCGGGTTGAGACAAAAAGACAGTGTAAGAGGGAAAGTAAAAGCCGCACACACAAGTGAAGCAAAACAAGGAATTCAATCACCACTTCCCATGGGCAGACAGGTGATCAGCCATCCCCAGGAAAGCAGGGCTCCCTCAGGCATCACAGTGAATTGGGAAGACAAAACGCATCACTCTGAAACAACCCCCTTTCCGTCTTCATCCTCCAGGTCTATATGCTGAACATGGTGACATATGGCATGGAATGTCCCTTCGGTCAGTTGGGGTCAGCTTGCCCTCCCAACTCCTTGTATGACTGCCTGTTCCTGGCCTGAAACAGAGTCAAACGGCCAGGCACACTTTGGATTTCACTTTTTAGGCAAGTAAAATCATCCAAGCTGCAAAAAACTGACATCCTAAGGAAGTAAATCTCCAAGAATGACAGCATCTCCTCCATCAGATATTCAGTTTATATGTATAAGCAAACAGGAACTATCTAGAGAACCCCATCACTGGCATCTGTGTGTGGTTGCCCATGGAAAAGCTAATCAAATAAGGTTAAACCAAAAATTTTTCAAAGAATCAACAAGAGTAAGCAGCATAAGAACCAATTCTTATCAAATTCTTATTAAATTATCCATTAAAATTCTTCTTGTCAAATGTTTTGTTCAACACTTAATAGGAGCTGTTCACAAGTAAAAATTATTGTGAAGGCAAACAATTTCAGAAGTGGAAACTGTACCTATTGCCGCACTCAGCAACTTCTATCAGGTTCCCTCGAAATCAGAAGCAAGACGTAAGCTTTCCACAACACTGGCTCTAGACTCATGTCTAGACAACATTATTTTTTGGGATTGCCACCTCTGATGGTGGAAAATATCCAGTAGGATTACTCTTCCTCCAGAAAAATATGAAAATATGGAGAAAAAGGGGAAAGTAGACATCTAAATAGACCCCGACCCCTTGACAACAAAATGTTACACTGCCACCGACTCAATTTTCAAGAAAAGCAAGAGAAATCTCAACAAAGCAGCAATAGTGCCCTTTGTTCAGCAATGCAGAATACAATGCTGGCACCAAATGGCACCTGAGGTACTTGAGGTGCAACTGCTACAGCTCCAGAATAGTCTGACAGCATCTGAGCTGGTATCTCCTGTACCAAAAGCCACATGAATGAATAGGAAAGTCTGGAGAAGTCCCACTAGAAGTAGGTATCTGGAAGCAGTCAGAAGTAAATAATTTTTGACTATGTTGGTGTTAACTGGCCTATAGTTATCCATGGTATCCAGGCATCAATATTCTTTTTCATTCTGCACTTTAACTTCAAAACTTTGATATCCCATCACATTTATTTTCCCATTCACATCAACACAGCATCTACAGCCTCCTCTTCATCTCAAAGCAAGTTGTATTTGATAACACCTATTCTGATCCCCTTTAGACCTGCATCCCACTTCTGTTACCCCAAATACCTAATTCTTCAGGGATGGGAGTGAGAAACAAAATAATATCTAAGCACACCTAGAAGGGAAGGTTTTCAATATGCCTGTTGTTGTAAACTTCTGTAGGCTTTCACAATTTCTCCTTAAAACACACAGTATCCGTCATCTGATTGGAGCAAAGTTAAGAATGAAGGTTTAATAACATGGTCTTCTATTCAAAGTCTGAGAACAATACTTAACGTAGTGACAGCTGAGTGTCTTCAATTAACAACAAAAGCCTTTGAGGCCAACATACAGGTCCTTTTGTACAATGGATCAAGTATTGATCTGTCATCATATTATATTCCTTAACACTCTCAAGAAAAACTCCCAGACCTGCATTCTGCTTATAAACCAGAGAAGAATTATCACCTACTATTTACAAACTGGCCCTTGGCTTAAACCAGTAACTTAGAAACGGAAGAGAAGTTGCACAAAGGAAATTCAGATTTCACAAGTTCTTTCAAAATCAGGACCATGAAGATTCAGACATCTCTCAAGAGTTATCAGTGCTGTAAATACCAAAAAGAGTATCTATTGACTAATGAAGGATTTACTGAAAGGACAAAGAATGAATGAACAAGAAGGGTTAATAAAAAAAAAAAAAAAAAAAGAGTAGAAGTATTAAATGTTGCCTTTATTATACACTATAGACAAGTGTCCTAAGTGTTGACACATGAATATTTAATTTCAATTAATTTGCATTATATCAGTGCCCTGTTTCCAACAGATGTGTCTTTCCTGTTCAAAATAACCACAGGCTAATAACAAATATATGAAACTATTCTTAACCTCATTAAAAGAGTAACAGCTTAAAATGCAATCCCAACAACAAAAATTTGGTTATATTAGCTTTCCTAAAATTCACCCATACCTTTCTCCCAAAACACTAAATACCCACAGGAGCAAGCAGAACAGGCTCATTATATGAAGACATGTTAAAAAACAAACAAACAAACAAACAACAACAAAAAAATCCCAAACCCACCAGCTCCTACAATTCTTGCTGTATTTGTGGCTCCCTGGCTTCCTCATAGAGGAAGGCGACTGCTCTGTAAAAAGTTTTGTAGACTACAAGCTTCTTTGTGAGCAGGCAACTATGCTGACTTGATTGTGATATTTCCTTCATCCTAAATTTAAAATGACACATCTATTTTTATTCTGTATTACAAGATACTTACTCTGCCATTACACGTCTGACATTATTGGCATATAACACTGGATTTTTTCTTTCTTCTTCTGAAGGAATATACACGGGTAGAAACTGCATAAAGAGAACTGAATTATACCAAAAATATTTAACATTTTAAACAATCTCTCTTATAGCATTATGGTGAAAATTGTGTACAGTTTGTTATTACTTACAAAATTATATTAACAAAAGGAAAATTATATTAACAAAAGGACTATAGAAAAAATAAAAATTCAACTCTTAAATGCTTAAGTATACGTCATACTTCTAGAAAATTCATGTAACAGACTCTGTTCATTTTTTATCTCATAGAACCCAAGCAGAGTTTTATCTTCCTTTCATAAGTAAGACTAGGAATTTTTAAGTAACTTACAAGTAATAGCATTTTCTTGGATAAACCTTTCTTTTACATTCTTTTGTTCAGCTCTTTCCAGATAACCAAAAAGTTTCACACTGGTCTTCAAAAAATTAAATAACAACTGGGGAATAAATATGAAGTAATTTCAGCAAATATTTCTCAATAACTTTAAAGTTAGTTGTATTTTCAGAATTACATAATGGTATGATCAGCAGTACCCAAACACTGCCATTAGGTGTTTTTCTGTTCCATATAATGGACAAATCTTGACTTTATTTTGGGTTTTGCTAGGTTTCTTTATATGCACCACTGCAACTGAAAACATATGACTCCTATCTTCTAGGTTTACATTACAAGCAGATACATCAGTGTGATGTAATATACAAAAGGACAACGACTGTGAAGTTAACAGAGGTGGAAAACTGTTCCTTAAACTTCCAAGTCCTATTCCATTTATTTGAGTTGCAAACTGTTGTCAAGTCATCCATCCAAATACAGAACAAGTTTGAATATGAGGAGATTTCAGAAGTGCTCTACATGTCCATGCCTAACTAGATATAAATAGCATGATATTTCAACAGCATTAACAAAACCAGAAGAACTCTCAAGCTGCTGCAGACTGTGATGGACGTATGAACACTGAAGCTGACAGGCCACCAAAACAAACTGACGAGAGCCAAAACAATTTACATGTGTAGATGATCATACCTCCGTTCTTCTTCACAACATTACTTGCATGCAGTTCCAAGTACAGGATGGATAGATGGGCCAATATTTACAGAAATCTATTATAAAACCTACATAGGTGCTTGATTCTCAATATATATACTGGATGACACACATGGTATATCAGAACATACATTATATGCAGACAAGCACAGACTAACTAATTTTGGATCCTGATTGTTGCCTGTTAAACCTTACCAGCTATTATTTAATCAAAAACAGACTGATGTTCTGTTGTTCTGCTGTATGTCTCCCTGAGTTATCAGATCATCAGCAGTAACTGTGGTACCAAGGCCGGTTGGTATTTGCTAATATCTCCGTGCTGATGGAACAGAGCAGGAATAAAAAGCAACAAACTCTGAAGACCAGGGGAAAAATATGGCTTAGAACAACTAGTTTTTCTTCTACATTCCTAAATCTGCTGCACTTCCTTAAAAAAACCACCAGATTCAACAAGTAGAACTCAAGTGTTCTGCCTCATACCTGAAAGCAGCCTTGCAAACACCTCTGCTCCTCTACCCTCTGCCAGCTCCCGCTTTAGAAGGTCACTAGTTAGTTTGCTTTTTTTAAAGACTATCAAAGATCATAACTTATTATGCAAGATCTGTAAGAGCTACAGAAACTCAGGATCTGCTAGCAGCTGCTGTCTCAAAAATCAAGAAAGCTCAGCAGTGTTCACTTCTGTGTGAAAGAACACATTTTACTTGCCTAGGGCAGAAAAACACGTTCCTGAGGTAGAGTAAAAATCCTGCCAACCAACTGGTTTGTCCTATCCCTGCATAAGGCAGTCACTCCCTTACCTTTCCGAAAAAAAAAGGTCACTATTTTGGAAATCAATTTTTTTTTTTTTAATATATGCTATAAATAGCTGATGATATCCAACTAAAGTGATAACACAAACCACAAATTTCTACAACAGATACAACCATTTAGTGGTTGGTATTTTGTACATTCATTAATTTTGAGAATAACTGACTGCATAAATAAGCAAACACAGAGCAATAATAAGTACTGTGATTGGCATGCATTATATGTCACTACTGTAACACAATGTATGTAAATATGCAATAGTTCTTCCTACTGATTTACCCTGTCATCAGTTCCATCTGTCAGACCTAAATAGCTGCTTCATTATTCAGAAAGCAAAAGAATTGCAGAACATCTGTCAAATATCCTATAACACTTTCCAAATACTGTAATTGTCCACAAAAATGCAATTACTCTGTCTAGAATGCATAAAGACAACAATTTAAAAGGAATGGCTTTAATTGTTTTTTCATTGTCACTACAATAGTCTTCAGCCTTAGGATCACACTGTTTTCCTCAAAACAAAGTTAAGAATATAGATAGATTTTCTTTCTGTTTTCCTATTTTCACATTTTGACCAGTGCAGCCTAATTACAAATTATCCAGACATTAAACAATATGTCCGACCTATAAGAAAACACCCACAATTTTCCTCTACAAGATAGTCCTTAGTTTGTACATCAGCATTCACATACTTGGATGTCTAACATGCAAAGTTGGTACACTACTTGGAATAGTAATCAGGTCGTTAAAAGACAAGAAATTAGTTCACAAAAGACTCTTTGAACAGAGTCAGAAATGTATCTACTCCATTTAAACCAATAAGAAAGTAAAGTCTTATGCCAAGGGGAAAACTGTATTTTGCTGTTCATTTTCTAGAGTACATTTTCAGACACAGAAGCCATTTGTCTAAAATATAAGTGGTATTTTAACCTGTTTTTACAGACAAACATACAAAGTTTGAACACAAACTTTTACTGCAGAATCAAGTATAATATTACATATTCTGAAACTGCTCAGAATAAACGTGTTTGGTTTTTTTTTACTGACCTCAATTTCCACAGAATTGTGAAACTGACATAAAGTAAGCCACAGAATTTCAAACCTAAAAGGGGCAAAAGATGGGAAGGGATGGAGAAAAAAATTTATATGTAGTGAAACAGTAGTACATTTTACTCTAAAGCTCTCAAGTAGCATTCTTACTTGTAGGTATGACCATATTCAGATAAAAAATTAACAGAAAAGGTCTTTGAAAGTATTTCTACACATTATATTCTGTAAGGTGCAACTAAAGCAGTTTACACTGAATTGGCATCTTAAAAAACACTCAAAAGCGAGAAGACAAACAGTAAAAGATAATGTATGCATAATGTGTAAAGAAAGAGTAAGTCTGTTTCAGGAAAATGCTGTATTCAGCACAGAGTTGGCAAGATTAATTATAACCAATGAGATTTTATCATTACCTCGCTTTGGAATCAAAGTTCATTATACTGCAGAAGTCTGTTAATGAAATTCTACGTGAGCTTTATTAGCCTAAGATACAAGATAACTGGAATCAACTTGACCTTGGAAAGCATTAAGGTTCAAATCCAGGAAAGGATTTAGTAAACCTAAATTAGGGAGCAGAGTTAGTAACCCCATTTTTACACAGTATCTAGGTAGTTACAGAAGTCAATCATTGTGAGGGGAGGGCTGCTCAAAATCCTCTTACACAGATACAGTGCAGTTCCTAGAAGCAAAACCTCACTCATTTTGTTGTACACTCATAGAGGAGTGCAAAACATTTTCCCTCCTTCCTTCCTACTCTTCTTCCAACACATTAAAGCAAACTAAAGGATTAAGAACAACAGTGGAATCTGTGATTTAAAGTTTACAGCACTGATAGGAAACATCAAAGTCTGGTTTGTAGGTCTTTGTCTAAGAGCATTAAATCCCTCCAATAAGTTACAAGTAAACTTTTCTCTCTGTCAGCTCTCTGGAATCCTAAAAGATTAAACTTTAAATTTAAATAAAAATCTAGAACTGATAGAACCTCTATCTAACTCAAGTCTAATGTAGAAAAAAATTAGGTTATATACTATAGTCAACCTTTGTTTCAAGGTAAAGTCAGCTGATCTGCTCTGCATTCTGTCAAATTAGTAAAAACATTACTGTCAATAAGTGGAAGAAAGTGTAAATTTGTATGTGACAAGTTCTCAATCCATTTTATAGGTTACAACACCTTTGAACAAACAATACTCCTGGATACAGCAACATTTCCAGATTAAGTTTTGGCTAACACTAAAACAGAAGAGACACACTTGTTGAGAAAAAAACTGTATCAGTCTTAACATTATTTTCTGCTCAGATATCAGAAATACATTTTAGGTCACTCAGCAGAATTAATCCTAATTAAGTAAAGCTGTAATTTAAACTGACCCAGTCAATTCATGTAACATCACATGGTGCCTCAGACTCAGATTTGGCTTTAATTTAATTTAACTTTTTTAGCAGAGGTTAGCACTTCAGAATAAAGGTTTTGTAGACATTACAGTGATCTGAGGCAACACATCTACAACTTCATTCCCTCTTCCTCTTATATGTTATTGCCTCCTCAGTTAGGACACTAAGCTGGAAGTAAGCTACTTGCCTTTCGCCTCTATGGCTGAGTTACTTTTTTAGGTGAATTGCAGTGCAAATGCAGGGGAAGAGGTAGGAGCTCATGAGAACAGAAATCCCTTAATGCAGTAAATGCTACAGTGCCTATTTACATTATACACTATCACGGATTTACAGTATACACTATCACGGATTCACCTACTTCTAATGTGGTATATTAATTGTAAGATGAACTTTTAAAAGTTATCAATTAATTCCTCAAGTCTACAGATCTACTCACGGTCTTAATTAGACCTGATTCCCAAGTGCGAAACTAACTGACAAAATTCTAAATTACTTGAGTCTTGGCAAATCCAAACAGTTTCCTTGTTACTACTAAAATACAGTATCTCAGGTGGGACATTTAAAACAATACAAGGCATTAAAAAAGAAGTCAACTCCCTTTACTTAGGGTTAAAAAATTTCTTGTTTTCACTTTCACCTAGACGTTTTAGAATATCGACTCAAATTCCAGCATGAAAATAATGCTTAATTTTTTTTTTTTTTTAAAATCAGGAACTGCTTCATTTAATATTTTACATTGCATGACTTTGCAAAATCAAAGTTATATGGAAACAGTATCTCCAAACTCTCTGAGTTGACTTTTTCCATTACATAAGACTAATTTCAAAAAACAGCCCTACAGATTTTATACAGTAATATACCAAATCAATTTGCAGGCAATAAAATACATAGAGCAGAAACAAGTTGCTTTACTTCAGGCACTTGGCTTAAAAAAAAAAAAAAAATTTGAAATAAAAATCTAAAATCCATTCTGCAAACCAACAAAATCAAAGTAGCAGAAGTACATTGTTTATACCCGGATTTCTCTGAATCATTATTATCATAATTAGGGAATAATAGATAAAAGATAAATTAATCCCAAAGAACAATCCAATAACCAGGAATTGTTTGACTATATATGCCTGTAAGTCATGTAAATAAAAACTAATGGAAGAAAGCAATCATGATGCAAGCAAGAAAACATAAACCACTTACGCTCCTGGTCCTTGCCATGTCCATGTGATTGTGTCCTAAGAAAAGAAGTATGACAGTTCCGATTAATTACTGTGCTTTCAACTTTTTATACTGCAGACAGCATAACTGACAACATAGGACTATAATGTTTTCATGGAAATTTCAATGCACTGTTTGCAAAAGTTCTTAACCCTGTTAGGAAGCAGCCTATCTTCTACATAGCTAGGAAACACCCAAAGGCTATGAAGAGAAAGTTACTTACTGTAAGGTGATGTTCCTTAATATGCATAGTCCACATGTATTTATTTTCTTAACCCACCCTGCTTGACGGAGTGTCCCTACAGTGTACTTGGATGTCCCAGCAATAGATACGAACACTCTAACACTCCTGAAGTGTCTGGGACCTGTGGAGATGACTGTAAGGAAGTCTGTTCAACAGACGTAAAGCAGTAGGATGGGTAAAACCTTATGTCTTACCTCAAACAAAGTATTTACACACAGACACCATACATCCACCTGCCTGATCCAAGAATCAAAAGGTACATTCTAAGACATCTACACCTACAAATTTACTTTCGGGGAAGACCAGCAGCACTTTTGCATGGCCAAAATGAACATGGTGTGAAACACTAAGAGAGGACAAATAGCAATGAAAGTATTTGTTAGATGCAAATAGCAAAAAGGAGTCAGAGACCTGGAAAGGATTATATAACAGATATAAGAGGTAACAGGAAGCAATATGACAGTAAAAGTCATCACATTTTTAACTGTAAGACTAAGAAATAGTACAGGAAAAAGACTACAAGACTTAGAGATGACATTTAAATGTAGAAGTAAGAATCTAAAAACCTGAAAATTAGTTCTGTTCTAACTGGGAAAAAAAAAGTTCAAGTCATTAAAGCAAGAGGACTCATTAAATTCAGGGTTCTAAAAGACCAGATCAGAAAGATATTTATTTCAACTTACTGAAAATGTTCCAGTTCAGTTCTATGCTACCATCCAAATCCATTTTAGAGAGTTCATGTGATCACATGTGCCATGACCATGAAAAACCAAGTCAAACTCAAGTTTTAATTACCATTTAGAGCAAAAGGCTGTCACAACTAAAAATAAAAGAAAGCAAATCCATCCATAAATGGTGAAAAATGTGATTTATGTGACAGAATACTTATTTATCATATTTCGTTTGACTGAAAGTAGTTGTCAAAAGTCAAGTTTTAAATTTTTAGTGGACCTTCATGATACACTGACCTTACTCTCCAAGCCATTGTTCTATTTATATCAATCAACATATGTACATAAAAAGAAGGCTTATCCATGTAGTGACCTTTCAGAACTTCATTGTCTATAGCTTTACGGTTACACTGTTTCCGGCTATTTTGATGTCTCTGATACCACCACAAGTAAACGCACTATGGGGTTTGGTTTCTTTCCACGTGGGACTTTCATTTACAAACCCTGAGAAACCAGCGTAGACAGCTAATAATTTATCTAGAGACTAGATCTGCCTTGTAGAACATTACAGAATTACACATATCCAACTCAGCTCTCTAAATTGCAACAGTGCAGAAGGAAATAAAGAAAAATGAGATCTCCACAAAAGTATCTGGATCACTGAACAGTGAGTAAGTATTTTCAGAATCCAGCCTTGTGCTGGCTAGCTGGCAAGTCAAACTCAAAAATAATCCATGTATTTATCAACAATCCTGCAAGAAAATTCCCAATGTCAATGTCATAGCAGACATGCATGCTTTCTCTCATCAAGAACACCAGGACGCAGCAGGGATGGTGGCTATAAATGTTATTTTCTAGGGGAAAATAGAATTCTGGTCTGCAAGAGGCAGACCCATGCTATAGCAGACTGCTACCAGTATATCCAATATTTTTATGATAAAAACTGCAGGAAGACAATGGGAAGTGGCATTTTCCTTACCCAGTTACCTTTTATATTTATCACTGCTACCAGCTTATCCCTATGGACAGCATTCACTTCAATAGCATTCAGAGTACACTTTGAAACTACTGTATCTAGGTAATAAAAATACTTGAATTGTGGGGAAGTACATAAAACTATAGAATGGCTTGGGTTGGAAGGGACCTTTAAAGGCCATCTATTCCAATCCCCCTGCAATGAGCAGGGATGTCTTTAACTAGATCATGTTGATCAGAGCTCCATCCAACCTGACCTTGAATGTTATCCCCCGTTATTTCCCCTCAGCATGGGAGGAAATAGGGAGAAGGGTCATCTTCCCTATAGTTTGAATTTGACACAAGAAGATACTGACAATCATGTCAACCTTCAAAAAGCAGATTGGTTGTTGTTTTTACATGTTCAGTCAACCCTGACATACCAACACTGCACAGGAGATGCTGCCAAACCCCTTATCAAATAGCAGTTACTTAGAGAAGACACTGGGACGTAAAAATACATTTAAAATGGCTCTGTGATATTTATATAGGTATACAGCCTTTCATAATCACCAGCACTCTGACACAAAATTCAAATGAAGAAACAAAGAAAATAAGTGTAAAAACAAATTGCGGTAGAACTTATGGATGAAGACACTACAGCATTTTATTTTGGTAACAGGCAATAGCTCTCAAGCATCCAATACCCAAAATATTACCAGACTAGATAACCAGTAGCAAATTTTGAATATCAGGTCTAAATATTTTAAGCCTTAAAATTTCCTTTTGCTCATGGATCATATTAATATACAACTTCTAAAGAAACACTGATACAGGACCAGAGATGTCATCTAACACAAATAATCACAAGCCCCAAGACAACAGGTATCCAGGGGGCAACCCTGACTTTAAAAAAAATAAGATAGAGAGTTCTTCACAGCAACCAGAACTGTATTTATTTTCTAGAAAAGAACTGAATTTACTTCTTTCCTTCTGCCACATTTCAGCCCACTGCAGAACAGCAGTGCTTTCCCCAGTTCTCGAACAGAGTGCAATGAAATAAATATGTAAGAATGCCCACACCTACTACATTCACCCCAGGCTCTGATCTCAAAAAGCCTCCCAGTACAGCAGGTGCACTCAAATCCAAGACTGTTCTCATCTGTACTGTGGAACTCAGAGCTCTGAATGTAGATCTGAGCAGGTACTTCAAGTAAAGAGCAGTGGGGTGATTGCACACAACACATACCTGGAATTCACTGGCTAAGCCAAGATCTTAAGAAGTTTCTTTCTAAACCTAAAATTATAATATGCAGTAGTTAAACAAGACAACAAGCAGGAAGCCAGGGATAATAAATGTTTGCTAAAAATGGTGTCTCAGTGTATGAAAAACAATATTCTCTCCCTGCTATGTTGTTCTTACATGTGTTGTGGTTAAATCCCAGCTGGCAACTAAGTACCACGCAGCTGCTTGCTTGCTCATTCCTCCCCCAGGGTGGGCAGGAAAATCAGGAAAAAAAGGTAAACCTTGTAGACTGATATAAGAATAGCTTAATAACAGAAATAATCTAAATCTGCATTCTAACCAAAATAAACCTCAACTTCATGTGTCACATCATATTCCTCCTTCCTCTCCTCATTCTAACTCTGTTGCAACTCTTCTGCAGCCCCCAAGCTAATGTAAAAATCAAGTAGTTATAGCAATTAGCACCCCTGTCATTAATGATTAAATCTTAGGAAGGTCTCTAGGAAGTAGACCTTAGGGGGTTAAATGACTCAGAAAGGCACTGAAAACTGTTTCACATCAATTAAAAGTTGTGGGGAAAAGTAAAGTCCCATACACAAATTCAGGCCAGCTCACAATGGATATCTATATAAATAGTTACAGTTTCTTTTATGATATTTTGCAGTAACACAAAGAAATGATGAAAATTTTCATTTACATTTATATTGATTTACTTCAATGTTAAAACCTCAAAATTTCTGTTAATAAAGTGTTAGGATCATGCAATACAAGTTTACAAACTTTGCATATTATGTACTATGAGCAATAAGGACATCTCAGTATGCAACTGGTTTTTTTCCTGAAAACAAAACAATTGTGTAAGGAGAAGTCCCCAGGCAACCTGCTACAATACAAGCAAGCATAGCTGTTGTTGTCACAGCATCTGCAAAGATAATTTCTGTGTTTGTTACTGCAAACTAGTTGACCGCCATCACATCTTTTCTCAGTCAAGAGCAAATGGTGGTCTAAGTATATCAACTCTGTTTGGGTACTTTCCTTTTTTAATCAAGCTTATGTGTTATATTACGCTGTAAGTCAACAGAAAGAACAATGGATGGAAGTATTTGTAAGAAACTCAGGTACCAAGAGGAAACAAAATCCTTCCTTAGAACAAGGGGTTATTAATGAGCTAGTAAGAGAGATCTGATGTGACATGCATCGACTAAGACTCAAGGTAGTCCCATTTTTACTTCTGATACTCCTTACATCCTCCACAGAGGGCTCAAAAAGAAACTTCAGGTATTGTAAATAAGCACTGTCATTTGCATTTTACCTGAATCCGATTCATATTGAAGGACTACTCCAGATTAGCCATTGTCTAGCATTCCTTAGCCAAGTGAATGTAAAACACAGACAATATAAAGGTGCAGAGGTCCCCAACACACTATACTATACAATTGTGTTAATTCAGGACTAACACTCCCAAAGGCAGGAGGTGCAGAAGCATCTTCCAGCTGTAAATGACATTAAGAAAACTCTCCAGCAGTAACAGGGAGAACATGACAACACAGATCCTGCACAGAAACTGACATTTGCCTCATGTGTACAGTACTTCTTGTAACAACACAAATAACTTTCAGAGCAATGTTTAGGAGTAACGTAATAAAAGCAGAAACATTTGAACTATCTATATTGCTTGAGACTTAAGGAATATATACTTAGCCAATAAGAATTTATTAATGATTTTCAAATTTCTAAACCTAAAAGATTACAGAAGTGCAAATGTTTTTAAAGGAAAATGCCCTGTATTTCCAGCCACACTGCAAGCTGAACTTACCAGTTTGTTTGGATAACGTAAAACCACTGGCTGTACAGGAACTCCAGGAATAAATGCTCCTAGAAGGCACATATGACACACAATTAGTTTATTAGTGCATTGTGCTACAGAAGAAGTTTACTGCAGCAAGAAATAATTAAACAATTAATGGGCAGATTGGAATTAGTTGATAGTGAAAAAATAAGACCTGAAAGTGGCCTCAAAAGTAATTGAAAAAGCAAGCACTGGAGAAAGACAATGTATATCCATCTTTTCAGCAGATAAATAATTAAAAATGCTTTCTTGCGTTCTGTAAATTATCCTTTAGCCCTTATATATATTGCCATGCAGACAAGTCAAACCTCAGTGCCAAATTCAACTTGATAAATGATTAAAAAAATATGAGTATGTGCAAGATAGGTAAGCAATATATTCCCCATGGTCAAAAATTTTTTGGGGGGTGAGGAATCCAAGCTTGCTTATGCAAAAGAAGCTTTCTATTTTTGTTTGAGCAACAATAATTTATAGGCAATATGTCTTCTCTGAAATAACAGAATTAACACAACTTCTATTCTCTAACTATGGAAAATCTAATAGTTATAAAGTATTGAACTGCAGCTATTATACAGAAGCATTGCTTCATTTCATATGAAAACTGCAGTTCTGATAAATAAGTAGCACAAGATCTATGTCATTTGCTAAGCATTTTCTTGGTTTTTAGTACAAAGACTGGGTAAGCATGACAACTACCTTGCTCAGATGTTTAAATTCCTCTAAACATTTTTTTATCATGAAGAAATTAAAACAGCTTACTCAAACTACATTATTTATAACAATTTACTAAGTTCTCTCTAATATTCCAACTAAAATTAAGAACTGAATGATTGAAGTGTACTGTATTCTTAGGATTACATTTGCTTTACAGAGTCGTAAGTCAAGACATAAAAGTAGTAATTGTTAAAGGAGTATAAACATCTTTAAATGAAGGTTGTCTGAATAGAATCCTGCAGAGACTCATGGCCAGTGGCACTTTCTGTTCAGTCTCAGAGAACATTTTAAGTAACTTTTGAAATAATTCAAAGCTGACAAATTCTGAGTGGTAGATGACAACATTACCACTTGAACAAAACTAAACTACCTTGCCCTGTATGATTAGCTTGCACAAACATAAAACCAAAAAAAAATGTAGTTAAGAGCAATGAGCATAGGCCACATGAGTAGAATGGGGAAAGGCATCCAGAAAGCAGCTATTTGAATAGAGACCTAAAGTAATGAGATATAAGAAAGGAATTTTGAGGTAAAGGACTGAAAAGCTGGATGGATACAGAAACAAATTTCAGTAGGAAAAGTGAGGCAGTCAAGAGGCAGACAGCAGCATATATTAGGTCAGAGGAGAGGAAGCTAGAGTGAGAATTTGAGGTGGAAGATACATAGTGCCTGGAAGGTCTATGTCACAGAGCGAAGGTAGTAAATCAGGGCTTAAATGAAAGATTCAGGCTAGTTTCCAAAGCACAGTCAGGATTCAGGTGGAGAGAAAGGGAAAGCAAAGAACTAAAGAAGTGGATATTTCCCTAGCCACCACTCATTCATCTAAAAAGGTAAGAGCTGAGAGACAAGCCTGAGATTCCTTCAACCAAATGAATCAGAGCAAGGAATCACAATGCTGACTCACTGCATGATATTCTAATAATCATACGTAAGTCGCAAGCAATGCAAAATACAAGATGCCCAGTAAGACCAGAACACAATGAGCTAGGCACAAACCCAGGAAGAGTCAAAAACCATGTTCACACCTGCCTTGCTCACTGAAGCTTTTTCACTGACCATTTCCCTATCTATAACATAAAGGCAAATTTACATTAAAAGGTTGGTGGTTCACTGCAGTACTGGCATTTCTCCCAATTGGAATTGCAGTTTACAGCTGCAGCAATGTTCAGTTACAGCCCCTTCTAATCTGATAAGCTAAAAAGGTGATGGTAACTGTAAAGAGCTTAGAATGTGGATGTCACAAAAAAATTGTAAACAAATGCCAGCCTTCTAACAGTGCTATTTGGACAAAAGTTTTGTGCCATCTTCACCAGGATGCAACTCCACAGGAGAGTTTGAGAGGAATCATCCAGACACAACACAGCAACAAATGCTGAGGCAGGTTGAAATAGATTCACGGTGCTACCTTAAGCTTTATAGTGTATCTAAATGCTGCATGGCAGACCCAAAATAGGAAATGGAGGAGGCAAGAAAAAGAAGGAAAAAGAAAAGAGACAACCACAGACAAAAACCCAGCATGAAACATTAGTCTTCCAGTTCATAAGCATCTCAGAAGCAAAGAAAAAAAACTGAATTATCTACGACGTTTTGTTTAATTGTGGAATTATAAACCTCATGTGGCATCAGAAAATTTCTATTCCAATTTCACCCTATTGCAAGATTTTAAAATCAATTTTTGCAACAGCAAGCAAACTACAATGCAAGTTATATTTTAAGAAACAAAGATACAAGAACATTATGTAGAGAACAGAGAAATGAGTATAATACCTACCAGGTTTGAATGTAATTAGACAGGATCGGTTTGTGCAAGTGCCCTCTGGAAATATCATTATCTTCAAGTAAGAAAAAAGATTGACTTTTAAAAACTATTCCAATGTGAATTTACTTATAAACATCTTTTCAAAGCTGATATTAACTGATTACAGCAAAAATTTTTAAGGGAAAAACAATTCGGATAGATTTAAAAAAAAAAATTAATAAACAAGGCAAGTAAAGTTCTACTTTAATAGTAACAATATTTTTATCTATGAATTTGTCTCTTTCTTGCCCTCAGTAATAGTTTATTCCAACAGTTACCAGAAACACTTGTAGAGCATAAGAGTATCTTCATCAAAGGTTTTGGTGCTGGCAAAAGTATCACATTCTCTTTTGTACCAAAACAAAATTCCCATTCCCAGGCAGAAAAGAAAGACAGTTATTTTCTTTTTGCTGTTACTTGGCATTTGCACAGATGTCCAAATGACAGAGGCTGAAGATGCCTAAACAGAATTCTAACCAAGCAAAAAATGCTGAAGTTGAACCAAATTCAGCAGAAGAGAGTAGATTGTAAAAAAAAAAAAAACAAACAAAAAAACACAAACAACCAAAAACCAACACAAACAAAACAACAAAAAACCCGTATCACAAGGGAACAAAAAAATGGACTAGAATTAACATTACTAGTTTTATTGCTCAGTCTGGTACTAGCTTGCTTTCAAATCCATGATGAAAGTCACAGTTCAAAAGCTATATATCACCTCTCTGTTTCATTGTTTACAGCTGTTTATAATGTTTCTGCGGATCATTATGCAGGTATAACCACTGTAAGCAGCAACAATGCCAAAAAAACATACAGTATCCCAATATCGGAAAAAAAAAAAAAAGAATCACAGGAATGCTTCAGATTTGCAAAATTACCACATGCTTCAAGAAATTTGAGATCTTAGATAGTCATCCCTTCCTTCCCTTTACTCTCTTCCAAGGCACGTTATACACAGTCACATTTTAGGTGTAGAAAAAAATCCCTGAGTCACTTATTTTATCCATGCTTTCATCATGGGCCCAATAGAGGTGTGCTCTGGTTACTGTAACATCCAAACTGCTTGGGCTGTCTTGCCCAATATCCCATCTCCAAAAAACAACAGTATGCCAGAATCTTGCAAAGGGCAAGAACACACAATACTTCCCCAGGTATTCTGCTGAGCATCTAGTTTTTTCTACTGAGAGGACTTTCTAAACCTGCTGTGGTCTGTCCATTTAGTACATCTCATGTACTTACCCAGTTCCCATTGAAACAAAATGCAATGAGAAACAGGTAAGAATCTTACATTGTATCTTCTAGAAAAAGAGGGTGGAGGAAATTTCACCCCCACCTCCCACCCCAAACCATCTGAAGCCGCTCACAATGAAAAAAGTAAACTGCATATCCAAAGTCTGGAAATGCCAAATACCATTTGTCAAACAGTAGCAGAATACAGTACCTGTGGCCACTTCCCATCAGACTGAGCACGCCTCTTTATCTCTTCTACAGTTTTCCTGCGAGAATCCTGGTCTGACCGAGATACAAATACTGGTCGGATGTATTTGATTAGAGCTGAAGAGGAAGGAAAACAAACACAAACAAATCAGCCTTTATTTCCTCTTTGTTTGAAAAAGATCCCCCCACCTCACCTCTGCCTAGTAATCCTCTGGACAAAAATTTTGGTAGAAGAACATACTTACTATATTACACTGCAAACTTAAATACTCAGCTGAATTAATGCAGTTTTATTGGAATAGTTCCAAAAATGCCTGTGAGGAAAACCAGTTTTGCTATTTTGGCACTATATTTTCACAAATTCCTGCGAGGAAAATCATTTTCACAATTTTGCCACTTCGTAATAGTTCAATTATTAATAGACCAATACAGACCAATATATACAACAATAGGATGTAAAATAGGATGGTGAGTATTATGCACAGTTTTCTGCAACAATACAGCTGTAACTGTCTACAGGCCATTTCTTCCTGCCACAAAATTCAAAAAGTCTGTACTCTCTCCTAACGCAGCAAAGTACCAGGAACCTCCCTCTTCCAAAGTGTTTTCAAAAGATGGTAAGATTGTCTCTGTTTTTAGAGCTTTGTCTTCTACGACAGCTCAGCTTCCCTAAAGGTAGGGGAAAGATATGAAATATGAAAGATATTCCATATTCCAATGCTATTGTGAGGACTCAGTATCATCAAAAGAAAAAGTGTGTTTATTTTCTCTGCTGTCACCTGCTTGCCTGTTCCTCATACCAGCTGAATTATATCTCAGACATCCTCTTCCTGACTCAGTGGGAAACCTCTTGCACATTGCCAGAGACAAAATGAACATGAGCAAAAATCAGAAATCAATCCAAAAGATCCAGTCCATGCATGTCAGCCACCAGGACACCAAAGACCACTTTCAAAATAATGAGCATATGTAGCTGTTTTGCAGTGTCCAAAAGCACTACAAGTGAAGCACCTTCAAATATACTGCTTCATGTTTTTATTTAAGCAGGTTGTCTTCAAATACCTTCTAATAACTTTGTTATCTCATATTTTCATTCAAAGGTTCCAGAGTCACTAAAATATTGGCTATTCTATTTGCCCAAAATACAGTTTTCATATTTGCAACCACTGTGGGATGAGTTCAGTGCCACTAATTGTATAATCTTCTTTTGCCAAGGATAGACTTGCTGCATTAATGGATCAGCCAGTGCTTAAAGTGTGAAGAAAAAACAAACACTATAAGGAATTACAGTCCTGTACTCAGCAAAAGCTGCTGGTTCTGGTGTTATTCTACCGGAATTTTAGCCAGCAACTCACCAAAATCTTTCTATGGCCCTGGAAAACTATTCTGTCAAAACTTACCGCAAGGTACCAAACAGTCAGCCAGCCTCTGAAATATTGCTTTTATCCCAAAAATTGCCAAAGCTTAGGAGACAGTGTATCAGAGAAAAGTTACTTTAGCTGTGCACTTATTCCTACATATCTGATCTTAGACAATATCTGTAGAGCAATCCTTGCTAGGGTAGCAAAGATCATCATTGGTCAGCTGGGGTTACTGCTGGGGGAAGCTAAAAAAACCAACCAACCAACCAAAAAAAGCCCCCAAACAAAACCCACAAAGATTAACGCATAAAAAATAGGGGGGAAAAACCCCAAACTCAGAACAAGTAATAAAAATAACAAGGGAAACCATATCTAGTATCATAACTTTTAATTAGTGATGCTACCCCTGAGTTTGACCTACTGTTGCAAATTACTATTCCATAGCAAAACCATTAAAAAATAAAAGAAAGCAAAAGATCCAAACATCCCCATCATTCACCCCGGAGTTTCTTTTACATTGGGCCCAAATGATGGAATTTGGGTTGCTTGAGGCCAAGGAATAAGATAAATCCAGAGCTCCAAGGCTCTGGAGGATTGCTGCAAGCAAGGTCTTCTCTGTAACACAAGACATTAAGCAAGCAGATAGATTTTACTTAAGGCAACATGATGGAAACATCAGATTACACTAATGTTGTCTATATCTGAAAACTGTACATGCAAGTTGTGTGTAAACCTGGGAGCTTTACTGTTACAACCTTCCTAAAGCAACCTACTAAGCTCCAAAGTAACACACAGCAAGTTACCTCACAAATTACCAGCACCACAAACAGCAACACACCTACTTGCAAAGAAAACCTATTATGGTATGAGACAACTGAAAGCTTGGTTTCCTATGGATGTGTCCTGCCTGTTGAATTATATGGTACAAAATAGTTAAAAGAGTATTTTCATGCAGCTTGCAGAACTTGGTATCTTCTTTACAATTACCTTTTTTCAAATATGTGTGTGAAGACATCAATATTTCAATCCATCACATCAATTCTTAGACAGGGTGGTCTTATTAATTCTTATTTCCTTAGAGATCAAACTAAAAGTTGACAGAATTCTTGTTTTCCTATTAAACAGCAACTGAAGATCCTGTAAGGTACCAGCTACCAGGTCCTTAGTGTTTAAGCCCAACAAGTCAAGTGAAACTGAAACTCTCATCAGTAGGATGCTGAAAGTACACCCCAAGGGAAGGCTAGCTCTGTACTTGCCTTTCCTCATCTACTCTTTTCTTAACTGCTTTTGAAAACAGAGCACAAGGCTACACAGACTTTTACTATCACCACATATTTTCATGTTCAGTAAATAGGTGGAAATCTGAAAATTCAAAGGCTGTACTAAGATAGTCTCTTCCAAAAAGTCAGGGACAGGGCCAGAGGTCTGTAAAGAAAAGCTGAGAAACATACCAAACAAGCGGACAAGATGAGACTGAGGTCAGATGTCAAGTCAAAACACAGGGAGAGCATACCATAAGGTAGGATGTGATGCAAGGAATAGGGAGGACTAGAACAAAGTCAGGCCAGGAGCAAAAAAGCAGCATGCATGAAAATGCTCCAGACAGCTGGCATACTGAGCAGCTAAAGGAAACAAGCAGAAGTGTGCAATATGTTTAATAAACAGAACATAATCGTATCTTTGTTTGCTCAGCAATATAACAGTCCAAGACTGACTGTAACCAGGTACTGAAGACCACAGCTCAAGTATTCAGAGACTCTGAAAAATGTGCTTGTCCAGCTCCTCTCACACACTCCACTAAAACCAGCTTTGAATTATCAATTCTATCAGGCAATGACAGACAATCCTTCAATTCACAAAACTGACCTTGTCAGTGTCATTACTCCAGCTTTTTCTCTAGCAGTGTCAGTACTGAGGACAGCTGACATGCTGTCAGCTCCACCTTCTTAGGCAGGTGCCTGCAATTTAAACAGTACTGCCAGTAATTCATTAAAACCTCTGCCTTGCAAGGCAGCGAGAACATCACAGATATGCTAACCAACTGAAAGTTGCTCCGGCAGAGAACAGCCTTTTTTAAGAGAGCCTGCAAAAATTCAATATTGCTTTAATTAATTGCAGGGTGGCAGCTCCAACTGACTTTAGAAATGTTAACACCCATGCAATCAATTTAAGTACCACCTCAGTGCATAAGAAAAAAAAAAAAAGGTTTCTCCCTGATGAGCTGAACACATACAATTGGTGTCAATGAACTCCTTAAGATAATAGCAGAGAAAAAAATTATTTCACCTCTCTATTTCGAGGCAAACGAGTGTGAGGAAACCTTGTTTCAAATCAAGACAGGAAATGCTGTATAACATACAACAGTATTGTAGCAAACCATTTAAATTACGTTTGGCAGTTACAACCACGCAGTAGATACAACTACACTTGCAATTTCGCCACTGGTTCTACAAGGCATCAGAGAACACAAAAAGCAATTGGAATAGCAATGTGGCACTAAATACAGTTCTTCTAAAAAGTATCCATGCACACGCTTTTGAGCAGGCAGTTACATGTTCACCACTGTAGAATTAGCACCAAACAAAGTCACAGATCTGCTGCAAACATAGAGAATGATGAACGTGAGGCTTTCCCTTGGCATCTCTCCCAAACAAGACAAAATCCCAACACATACATTCTCCTGACACACACTAAGAGGGCAGCCTACTGAAGCAGTACAACTGGCTCTGTCTGCATTTAACATGAAGCTGTGCAAGCAGCCTTGCAGTGGGATATCCATTTACTGTACTTACTCCTGATATTTTTCTATTATGGAAAAAATACAGATTATATTATTAGTTGTCCTCTTGTGCATTTTGTATTTAGGGGTACAAAAACATGAAGGCTTTTTAAATGAAGCAATATCTAATATGAAATACATAATATCTAATATGAAAACTGCTCTTTCCTGGAGAGAAGAAAAGAAATCTGCAAAGGACTCAGAAGCTTTATGAAAGTTATGGGGGAAAAACCCATTAAGGTTCCAGACTAAAATTAATTCCTATGTATATGGACATAGGGACCTTAAAAATGGAAAAACTCAAGCTCACACACACCAAATACATAAAGCTGTATCAAAGCACAAAACTCAAGTCAAACAAAATTAGGACCTTTCCCACTCGGAATTATATTGTCCTTACAGAAAAAGAAAAAGTTATTATAGTCATTGTACTCTATATGAAATTTGTAAAGTTAGTGGTAGAACATTATTAGAGCAACAAATATACGCAGAAACATATACTAAAGCCTAAGACTAAAATCTGAACCAACCACCAAAGTTCAGTGAATGTTAAGAACTTCTGCTAGTTTGACTAAATGCCTAGCAGATGGACCACCTGACAGAAGGGATACCAAGTATTCCTGGTATAGAAGCAGTGTTAACAAGAAAATTCCCCTCTCTAGTTCCAAAGAGAAAGGTAGGACACTTGCAGTCTGCAGGACAATGAAAAGTCAGTAGTGGGAGGTAAATAATCAGTGTCCTCTTTCAGCTTTAACAGAAAAAAACTGGTATTTGGGTTGGTCTTTCAAAATGTGATCTATTTCCCTTAACACTTCTTGAGGCACAACGATTTTTTTTATATCAAAGAGATTGCTGTTTGCTTTCTCACCTGCAATACCTGTATGAGGGCATGGCTGTATGTTTCAGCTTTCTACTACCAGTCTCAGAAGTACTTAAGGTAGGCAGTAGTGTTGGTTTGCAGGTTTCCTACATACTATGGTGCCCACAGCCTGAAGGAAACCTTGAATTTTGAAATGGAAGGTTTGAAAGGAGATGATGAAATGGATAAGCTTGGCAACAACTACAAGATGCTCATCAGAACTGGGGAGCTCCTTCGTGTACTCAAGGCAGGCTACAATGCCAACATAGCGTAGATGTCGGCTTTCATCCTGGTGACCTTAGTGTTTAAGATGCTGATTTACGGTACATAAAGAAATCTGTGATGTTTTCACCTTACAGCAGATTTTTCCAGAAAGCACTCAAGTATTTGAATGCAAGATCCTCACAAACTACAGTTCTTTTCCTTCTGAGCTTTGAAAGGGGTGGGGGAGAAGGAGTGGCACTTGAGGTGAAGGACTGAGGGATGAGGTTCCATAACAGAGCTGATGAGTAATTTGGTATCTTTTAAGGTTTGAGATGAAAACATACCCAGATACTAAAACATAAATATTTCCCCCTGAATTACTTATTTCTCATCTTTTAGTCATGATGCTTTAGAAAAGCCTATAATGTACTGTCAAAAGATGACCTCGAACAAAAATTCAAAAGTTTACTAGATTTGCAAAAAACCACCCAGGACAGAATTGACAGTTTTACAGCACAGTATGATTCTCCCGTCCTCTACAGCTCTTCTGCATTGTGCCAAATAGAAATTACCTCCTTCCCCTTTATAAACCCCCCGGTTCATTTCACAGGTACCAAATCCCTCTTCTTTTCAGAGGGTGATGTTAGAGATGTTGGGAAGTTGCTTAAAGTTTAAACTAGCTTATCACCTTAAATTTAGTTTCTAAAAGTTCACATCACTGAAGATATTCAAATCACAGAAGTGATCCAACAAAATACCCATAACCCCATATTTACTGATAAATTCCTTTCCCTTCTTATTGAAGCATTTCTGCAGTAGCACTGACCACTTCAACAATGAAAAATTACTTTTCCCCAGGTTGCTTCAACAGTCAAAAATAAGGCAGAGAAATGTAACTATCCAGAATTCATGCAAAAACCTTGTCCTGATTTAAAGTGAGATTCTGTAGACAAAACAGGAAAAGTGTAAGGACTTTTGCTGATAAATTCATTGATCTGACTTCTTCAGCCCATGTAAGGTATAACAGACTCCAAGATGTCATCTTCCCAGCTGCACATTTTACACTTAAGTGGTCTGGCAAATTTCATACCTCCAATCTACCAAAACTCTGGAAAGTCACTGCATGGAAACATATGTCTTCCTTCAGCATCATGATGTATTGTCTGTTTGGCGTTCTCTGCTTCCCAGATACTGATTTTTTTTGTTTGTTTGTTTGTAATCTCTTTTATATTTGGGCAAGCAGTTCCTCCCCAGAGTTTGTTAATCTCATGTGTGTGCCAAGCAGATAATTTTCTTCACTACTGGCCACTAACAGAAGAGTTCAAAACTCTTCCTTCAGAAGAGCATTTTTAAATTTGAGGATTTTTTTCTTTGTTTTCCTAAAAAGGAAGAAGATGTCTGTAAGAGTGACACGACTTAATCTGCTTCTGAAATTGGACTTTGTAGTTCAGAAGAGGTGCCTTCAAGTTAGAAAGCAATAAAACACTCATGCACAAGCACACTTGTGGAATACTTCCAATCCCATGAAGAACAGGCTTTTAATAATCTGGACTTCTATGTGGATCAGAAGCTTAATATTCCATAACTGGCAAACCAAGGATACAATAATACAGTTCCAGAAACCTTTTAAAATATTTGCAGAACCAATCTCAATAACCAGTTAGCAATCAGACCTTTTTGCACCTGCTAAAGTACCTGATCCCTTTGATATAGAGCATAAAATGTCCCAATAAACACTGTCAGTACATAAAGAAAGCCAACGTTTTAAATCACACTTGGATATTTTGGATGATTCCCTACTCTTTACCCAAAGTCCTCGTCCTTGAAAACTATCTTCAAGCTTCCCCTGCCATGTCATTTTTTACATGCCTGAGTCTGCTCAGAGAGTTAAATGGATTCAAAGCTTCCCAGAAGATTCTGAGTGACCACTGACAAGACTCAATTTACAGATAGGAAGGTCGGTGACTGGCTACAAAACTTTACTGGAGATGGCATAACAAGTCTGCAAGACTTACAAAACTGAAGAACATAAAAATTCTGACCTCTCCGGGATAAATTCTAGATTAATGTCTAGAGTGTTGACAATTCACCAGGCAATCCAATAAAAACATGAGCACCTTTCCACAGATAGAAACCATGAGAGAAATATCGTCTTTTTAATATTTATTTCTTTCATGTGTGTCCATGCAGAGAAGTGTAAATAACATTAGGATTAAAAAACTAGATCAAAGAAGACAGCACTATTTGCTTCACAGAAAACTTCTTTCAAGCAGAAAAACAAATAAGTAAATGACAACTTCACTCCACTGGAAAGTTTTCACTGATTTTTAAGGCAAAATAATCAATATACTGATTACTCACTTCTCTGTTAAGGTCCATTTACTTAAATAACACAAGCTGCTGTAATTAGTGTTGCTCACACAAAAATACTCCTCTAAAAACAAAAAAGCTTTTTGAACTCTGAATCCCAATTGCGACCCTTGCTATGCCTCATTTCTGTGGCATTTTTATGAACACTTTAAAAGGGACAACACAACTTTTGTGGCTATGTAACATAAAGCAAATGCAGCGACAGAGGACAAACCATCCATTTATTTGACTGCACTGTACATTCCAGAAATATTCCATCAAATCACTATATATTTTCTGTTTTTCTGTGACTGGTTTTACTCACACATGAACAAAATCCAGTGAATAATTTTTCAAAATGTACTGTAATAAGTCTAGACTTTCAAAAGAATCCTTTAAAAGTTACCTTAAAATTAAATTAGGTACATAGAAATAGTTTTAACTACTTGATGTGCATTATTTGTGTTACGTTCAGTGGAAGTGCAATCTCCATATCCCTTCAAATTCTCCTCAGGCTTCCCCACTAACTCCCACTGAATCTATTAAGTGGGTAGTTAAGTACCCATTATAGCATTCTGTCAAATGCCATTCTGCCGTTTAATCACATTTCAGTAACACAACACGGCCTGGAGTCACCTCATCCAGTTTGGGTCCTCCATACAGTCCACCTTTAAGTCAAAGGGAGTTCCACACAGACTACTTTATTTTGCTGAGCCAGCAATAACTAAACAGCAAATTGAATCACCTGAGAAAGAAGACAAATCAGCCCCTGCTTCTACGTCTGGCCTGCTTCTAGAGACTCAGCTGGCCTGGATACACCTATGCTGTATGGGAGTGCCAGCATACTGTCTCACAACAGTATCTGGCCATGTCTCAACTTCTGATTTTGAACATAATCTTAAGAACACATTGTCTAATGAAATACTAGGAGGATGTCAACACCAACAGCCTGATTCCATTTAGTTGCAAAGGAAATCAAAGCTTTTGATTAGATTTTTAAATT